AATCTTTCCAGGGATAATTTCTACCCCAAGCCCCGCTAGTGCAATTTTGCAAGTAGATCACTTATTTCGGACACACCATTAGTTCTGAGGCGGCCAAAGCTGTCGCTAGCAAGCTTCACGCTATTTGGATGTGGCCGGCACCTTGTCACCTGCTTCTGCCGAAACTATCTTGTTCTTCGTGGGCCCCGCACCAAGCCAGAGTACGAATTCACTTCGTCGCTTGGTCTATATTTTTTCTGAGAATGCCTGTGATCCCCGTGCTCCTGCCGATTCTCCTGCTGTTTCTCATTCTTTGAACTGGACGGTAGCCCCTTCCCATAGGACGCTGTACGGATCAAGTGATATATATGCTAATTAGTATCTTACAAGCTCCGCTGCAAGCACCTCTTTCCTCTCTAATAACGGTCTTTGCAATGTCACCCGGGTACTTGCGGTGTTTCCCTTGCCACCGATTAAACGCAATCAGTCGATTACGGGCCTCGATGCTTTGGCTTTTCCCTCAATCCAGCGGAAGTGAAAATTGTTTCGCGGCGTCTTTGTAGCACAACAAGTCTAGATTGACGCCTACGTAGCCCCATATTGCCGGTCAACCCACACACCACAATACCGGTGACAGCTGATTTATGCGTTGAAAGAACATATACTCAATGCGACAGCTGAAGCGGATGCGGGCAAGGCAAGTGGATATCCACGGGACAGGCGATATTACAGTTATGCACGCAGAGAACTGGAATCGGATTGAACGTTCTCAGCAACACCTGACTCATCGGCTTCTTCAGCTTCCTTTTTGGCTACAGGGTAACTGCCAGCCCAAGCCCTGTGGTTGTTTCCCGAGTTCTCATGATCTCAACACCCTCTGCACGTCTTTTCTTCACATTCCGTGAATGCTTTGCGTGTTTTGTCTTCTTCAGTCTGCGCGGTCCAAACAAGCCATTTTCTTGCTCCATTTGAGTGCGCATCACTACAACACCCCGCGTCCCGTAGATATCCCCTTGCCTCACAAGAATCCGCTCCAGCTGTCGCAGCCTTTAGTTTTCGGTGAAAGACCACTAAGGGAATTGCAACAATCCTCAATAAAAAAGATACGCAAAAAATACAGAGTCGCTACGAAGCTATCCCAATGATGTTTTCTGAAACCTCTGTAGGCATAGTTTCTCTTCGTGCGGTCTGTATGTGAAGTCGGTCTCCATTTACGGGGAAGGCTTCACCTTTTGAGCAGTCAGTCATATCAACTCTGCCGCTGTTATTTTGTGTGCTGTGCCGGTCGCTTTTGCTACTGACAAGTTACTGTGGCTGCTGGTTTTGCATGTGCTACGCTATCGTTTTCGAGAGTGAAGATAAGCTTGTGATTGCCGCTGCGATTGTGTTTGCTGTTGCTGTTGCAGCTGCCGTCACTGTAGCCGCCGCTTTCTGGCTCTTGCTGCGGAAATTGCTTTTGTGTTCCACTTTATCTCTAGCGATCTTAAGCAGGGTGATTGTTGCTATTGCATCTGCTACCGCTGTAAATGCAGTTTCTGCTATTCCTTCTCCCTTCCGTTTCTCTACTGATTTATGAATTCCGCATATTTTTTCTGTTTTGCTAATTTTGTGTATGCATGTGCTTTTGGGCTTGTTAGTATCGTAATTTCCTTTATATAGTGAGACTACTATCGTGACTGTTCACTGGGTGGCTATTACAGAAAGTGTACAGCATGTAACTGGTAGTTTCATGCTAAGCGCGGATGCAGGTGAAAGTGCAAATGCAAGTAAACACTCTGTTGTCCCTGGTGGACGCCAGCCGCTGGGCTCACGAACAAACGTCTGGCCGGCGAGTTGAGAAACCACGGGACAAAAACGAATCTCCAGTGTGCCCAAAATGAAACGTGTAGGAACAAGGCTAGAGTAAAGGGAAACCCAGAGACGAGAGTAGGGAGAAATAAGGCGCGCAAGAAAAGGGAGAGATGAGGAGGTAAGGCGCACAAGAAAAACGATGAGGATGCTACCTTGGAGGAAGGGAGTAGGGGGTCGACAATGAGGTTGACTGCCGCTGGAGAAGGCCAAAAAAGCGCCTACAACCTTACAGGTAACACTGAGGTGATAGCAGCTGTTGAGTTTCTCACATGGCCCGGTGGTCCGAGGAACAAATCGGTAGTTTTCTGGTTAAGGAACGTTGTCGTCGTCGCCCTGAAGGCTCGGGATCTAATGGTTTCCTCGGTGGCTCGTAGCACTGACGATTGCACAAAATGTGGAAATCCAGCTGACGGCTGCCTCCAGACCGACCGAAGTCGCCGAGGTGTGCGAAACGAGGTGGGCCATGCGAAATATTACGTAGCAGAAGTAAAAGGGAAGCGATGCCAAATAGTTGGCCGCTTTGGCAATAGGCCCTGTACAGATTAATGGACCGCGCTGCTGCAGCGAAAATTTACAATGCGCGGCAAAAGTTGCTGAATGCTCACTGCTCAAGTGTAGTTGGTTTCCAAAGGTATATTAAACATCACACTGCGGTGAATCCGCGTACGTTTTTCACTGCCACTTATCATGCAAGATGGTACTTCGCTCTCTACTGCAGAGCTGTTGAGCTGCTTCGTCACAGGGATGAAAGAGTGGCGAGCAAAGCGCTGCTAACATGAAGATCCACTCCGATAAGCGGTTTTTGATTAGCCATCCTTCAAAAGATTCGGCGTTTGGTGGATGCGAGATTTGCCGTATTTCGTGCTAGCTCGAGAGCATGGAAAAAACGCTCCCACACCCAACAGTTTGACTGCGTGTCAGTACAGAGCGTTTGCGCCAAAGCATTTTTGAACCTCTCGGCCTTCCTGTCGCTCTGGTGACGATGGGCGAAAGGCTTGGTGAAATTAAACTCCATCAGGTGCAGAACTGTTGCCATTAGTAAGCGACACTGCCCGTCAGGAATGAGCACTTCAGGAAAATTGTGGTAGCGAATGAAGTGGTGAGCACGGAGTTCGACCTTGTCTGCATTTGCAGTGGTCCGCTTCGCGGGGATGATTGGAGCCATCTTGCCAAGGGAGCCGATGGGTTCTAGTATAGAGTTGTGACTGGAGGCAATGAGGAAGCTGGCAACGAACTGATATGACCCTATAGCCTTAGGATAATGGTAAAGGGCAGGAGGAAGCCCACAGGCGCCTGGCTCAGTACTTAAGACGCTCGGCAATGCACGAACGATTCAACATTTCCCCAAGTATAGGCAGGCATTGCCAATAATAATATTTAGTCAGAGCAAGGGAGGTCTAGTCTTCTGTCCCCCGTGGCTGGTGGTCACGTAGTCGTGATGGACACAGAACATGCGTATGAAACTCACGAAACTTTGGGGACAAACGGCCCTATATGCCATGCTTAGACACACAGATATAGGGATTAATAATTCAAGGCCAGCGGAGAAGCAACTTCTTTTTCTTCACCACAGGATCTGTTGCACGGGTCTCCTACCGAGTTGGCGCATTCAGCTGGTCTTTGCAGTCGTTCCCAGTACATTAGTTCTTATCCTTGTCAATGTGCGTGCGGCAGTAACTGCTATCGTGCAAAATGCACCTGAAATTCACTCTGTCGGCTGCTGTTGCTGCGATGGCTCTACTCACTGCTAACCCTGCAACTTGCATGGCGACGGCAGCCGCTTTTAGCCCTATATTTGCCGTTTGTTTGTTGTTGGTGGTGCAGACGTCATTACTGCATCTGCTGGCGTACCAAAAAGTGCTTTTTTGGCTACTACTGCTGCTTTCGCAGCAACCGCGCCTCTCCCTGCAGTATCCGCGTTCAACAGCCTGCCTGCTCACCAAGCCTTTTAAGTAGAAGACAACAATGAGGCTCAGCCCACGGCATCCAAGCATGTCAAGCAATGAGAGCATAGAAACGCAGCCTTCGAACTTTCACAGATATTGAAGTCTGTCACCCAAATGCTTGGTTGATGCAGTAAAGCTATGCGCCACATGGAAACCGCTTCACCATATAAAACTGCCAAAGACAACGTTGCGGGAAGGGCGCAGCTGTCGCAAAATAAGCATATCACAAAAGGCCTCGAATAACAAAGCTGCCGCCGCATAGCAGCACGTACACAAGACATGAATGTATCAGCTGCTTTCTATCCACTTCTGCTGTCTACGGCTCGCTGCATTTTAAGTGTCCACAATGCTGGCAGCAGCTGCATAAGCTGATGCCACAGCTGCCACTTCGTGCCACGGAATATCCCGCAGAGCCTAGGACTTCTGCAGCCACAAAATTCATTACCAGCGTATGCGCAGGCGCACGAACGGCTGCAGAAAAGGCCCGGAAAATGGCATGGCAGCAGCTGCTTTACCTCAAGCTGGAATACTTCCAGGCAGGCGATGTACTCACGCATACGCCGACTGAAGTCAGCCGCCTCATTTCTGTCCTAAGGTCCAGACTAAAATCATGGTCACTGCTGCTGCTTCTGTGCAGTTGAATTTTGTGCATTCAATCAGAGCAGGCACTGCTGTTGTGCATCCTGTGGCTGCCGCTGCTGTGCGCGTTGCTTTTGCCGCTTCTTCGAACGGAAACAACCAGCAATACAGCCACCAAAGCTGCTGTTCGTCTACTTCAATTGTTGCTGCTGCTGCTGCTAGTGCCGCACGTGCTCCTCCGCACAGTACTCAGCAGGAGGAAACAAACGGAGCGTTGTCGCTGCCCGACTGACCTTCTACGTGCTGCAGGTACTGCTGCTTCTTAGCAAGACAGTAGGCATCTTCGAGTCCAAAAGAGCTGCTGCTGATGCCTGGGTTGCCATTATTGCCCGTTGCTGCTTGTTTCAGATCTTCTCGTCCTGTTCATTGTCCCTGTTCAATTCTCTGCGGGGACGTTCCGAAAGGTCGGCAGTTCTCTGCCGAGACGTTCTGCCAGGTGGGACAATCTTCTCTCGTCACGTCCCCATGAGTATTCCTGTTCTGCGTTGAAATAAACCTTAGTTCCGAAAGAATGGAATTGCTTGCAGCTGCGTCTGCTGCTGGTGCTGCATGCGACAGCCAGAAAGACCGAAGACCTGCTTTCGATCAGATTTTCATGCTCGCCGCCTTATCTGGCCAGTAGCTCTTCCTTAAAAAGTAAAGAATTTGCGTTTTGTTGAAGTCGTCGGACACTTCTTCCATGGCAAGGACGTTCTTGTCTGCATCTCTTGCCACAAGCAGTGGCACAGAGATCAAGCCCATATCTGGAGCTGATGCGTTTCTACAGCTAGTGCACACTGCTCTTGGTGGCCACCTCACGTCACAGTTGGCATAATTAAGAGCACTGCCATCGCCACTGAGATGGGCCAGCGTGGCATCAGCAGCTGTACGTACACTGACTGCGTTGTGAAGCCTCCACAGCCACAGTTTGAGCTCGTCCAACTTATCTGCTTCCACATGCCTTTGTGCCCATGCGGCGCTTGAACCCTCCAGCTGTCCTCTGAAACGCTCCAGAAGGGAACTTTCGGCTTCTTCAGGCAAGGATGTCTGCTCGTGGGTCTGCATCATTGTGGCCGCAGATGGCGGGAACGGTAAGGAGATGAGGGCATCTCCCTTAGGAGGCGATAAGTTGCTCAGCCCGTGGCTTCGCCTTGAGAATAACAAAGTAAAGTGCTTTTGGCATGCAGCGCAGCCAAAAAACCGGTGCAGGAAATTGTATATAACATAGGCAATTTCGAAGGCCGGTATGGACATGCATCCCAAAGACGGGTCACGTTCTATTAGCTCTTCCTGCGCATGAGCAACGTATCAAAGCATTTCCATGAAGGCACATTCAGAGAGAAAACTGTGGAGTGCTAACCCATTTGTTGGCAAAAAGAGGGCACCATGCACGCCATGCTTTTCTTTTTGCTGATGCTGCTGAAGGCATCCGAGGAGTGCGTCCGCTCTGCATACATAAGGGTCTCTACTGCCATATAAATCTTTTCTGACCTACGCAGGAATACAATACTTACAGTCGACAAGGACGCGCTGTCAATAACTTCGTCAAGATTCACAGGTCTCCCCCGTCGCTGTTGCTGCTGCAGGAGGTAAACTGGCAGCGCTTGTCCTTTCGTCAAAAAGAAAAGCTGGTTTGGTCCACACTTAGGGTTCTCATTCACTTTGAGTGACAATTGCTTGGCGCCCTCTGCTAGCACGTGCATCAGCATCCAAACGCTACACGTGGCAGTCGTGCAGTGTTTAAAGTTGGGTTCTTCCAGAGGAGGTAGGGGCTGCGCTTCGGCACCAAAAGGCACTGTACCTATCCACTTGCGCCAATCTGCAGTCTTCAGACCTTTGTATGTGCGAATAGAGTCGTCAAGCTCTCTGTACAGCTGAAGATACTCCGAAAAACGTGCAGATTCATCTGCCTTGGTTTTAACCCTTCGTATGGTGGGGGAAACTGGCTGGCTCTGGATAGAGTTGTACAAATGGATTACAGCGAAAGATGCGGCTTTCTTTACCGACTGAAAAGGCATCACAGCACGCACCGTCTCGAGTAAATCCATCAGTGCAAACTGGTCAGCCAAGTTCATATGCTCCCCCACGGTCACGACCCAAGTCGCCAACACAAATTGTAGGCCTCTGACGGCGTCGTGCACTCGCGCGCGGGATGAAAACTCGTTTGATGCTTCAAAGTGTTGAGCCTGCAAGCTGCTACTCCCTTCCTTGTTTCCTGTTTCCTGATTTCCCTGGGAGACTGGGTCGACAGACGAGCTGGGTGAAACATCAGGAACCAAAAATTGCTCCTCCCTCCATCTGTTGGCACTGCACGGAACTCCGCGCAGGTGATCAAAGGCGGAGAAATCGCCCTCCAGCGTTAGCCGGCTGCATCAGCATAGCATTCAGAAGCAAGGGAATATTCGGGGGCAAGAGAAACTGACGGTGTGATGAACCCATGCAAAGGCAGAAAATATCTCCGCAAAACTTCGAAACAAAGACTTACAGTTCATCCTTCGGAATTATTTGCTGGGTCTTGCGAGCTGCATACTGCACAGCAAGATAGATGTCGTCGCCAGGGAGGGCAAGAGAATGGACAGCATGAGTTCCCGACCGCTGCGTGTCGAACGAATCCAAGGCTCCCCCATCGTGCATCAGAGAATACCCAGGACGCACGCCCCCCACAGATGAGGTGTCGAGATTTGCATGCCGCTCAGAGGCTGGAAGTCTCAGGTATAGGGATTGTGGGACAAAAAGCTTGATAGATGGGAGCGCCGAGATGCCTAAGTTGCTGCAAATATCCATAGTGGCTTCATTTTCCATGCAGTTTAGTGCAGCGAAATGAAAATGATCACGCAGATCCATAGCCAGCCGTGAAAAGGTTTTTCTGTAAGAGAAACAGTGCGGACACCACGCCGAGTAGAGCATCATCACCAGCCCCTTGTCGGCGACATCTGCCCTCTTCAACACACTCTCATACTCTTCTGGGGTCGAGGCCTCCTTTACGATGGGGTCAGCGGCAAACATGTAGCTGTGACCTCGTTTCCTTTCGGAGTTTTCTTGTTGTGCTGTCCTTGCTGGGGCAGCATGAGGTGTAGAAACTGAGGATGCCCCTGCGGTGGCGGATATATCGCTCGCAGCTTGCACTGGCTTCGGGAGAAATCCCGAAAAAGCTGAAGAATCATTTTGGGCTACGCCATGAGGCGGGTCTAGCGACGCCACGGCTTCCGCTGATGCTGATCGAACGCAGGCGGGGGAGACAGTAACGTAGAGCCAAGCAATTAACGGGATACTGGCCACCACCAACCCACCTCGCAAATTGCAGCGACTTTGAAACCCCATCAGCTCCGTATGCACTCTAAATAAACGCTGGAAATGGAGGAATTGCGTGGGGGGAATCCAGCAACCCGCGGCGGTTGAGAGGCGCAAATTCGATAGGCCTGTATTTCAAGGAAACGGCCCCAAGTATGCCAATGAGCAAGCTGTACAAGGCCTTTCGCCTTGGAATGCAGTAATACGCACTTGAAGTACGGGCACCTGCAGCCCGCAGATAGGGCTCGTCACACGTCCCACGGAGATCTCACGGAGACAGGACTTTGCTGGCTCTGCAGTTGATGAATTCCAGTGCCCTCCAACGCCAGCTATGCAACAACAAATACCACGCCTGCTAATGTTAATGCCAAATATATAGCTAATATTTTCATTCTTGTGGCACTTGATTGCTGCTATAGTCTGAGACATTGAAGGTACGTGGGCGAAGGGGGCCAGGGCTACCTTGCTCAGCGCAGCATTAACTCTGCATTGTTCTTCGCCATCTTCACTCCTTCCCGCTAGAATTAGGCCACAGTCAAGCTGATATGCAGTTTTTTTAGCAGTAATTTCTTTTTCATTATTACACTTTCCCTTAGTGAGAAGTTTACAGCAGAAGTTTGCTACGGGCGCGCTCGGGCTCCGCATGGATGAGCTGATGAGTGTGCTACGGTTTTACCTAGTAATAGATTGTGTTACAGTGTAGTTATGCTTCCATTTATTCAGTCTGAAATATAGGATGATAAATGGTGCATGATTTAAATCAAATCGTCAAATCGTTGTCCTTGCTCGCTGCTTCAAAGAAACAACTTCGGCTGTAGAGCGCTGCGGCGGTTCAGGTGACGGTTTGGCTGATCTCCGGAAATTCAAAGCTTCGATCAGATTATCTCTGTTCAGCCTTGATTCACAAAATTGGGCGTGGGAGGTATTGTGTTTAAGCGGTTAGGGCTAAGTTAAGAGGCGACTGTGCCGAAAATGCGAAGTTCTCGATTAGGCTGTTCGCCGCGATGCCCGCCTTCTTGGAAGACTCTACGTACCTGTGAAGGCTTGAGGCTTCCATAGAAAATGGCTAGGGACTTTTTTCGCTTCTCTTTGTATATCTGTATAGGCTTACTGTTGCATTCCTGGGATTGTGCTTTGGCCTAGCCTTGCTTCCTTTTCAGTTCGCATGAAGGCCTCAACATTGTTCGCTCTAGTCAGCCGCCGGCAGCACTGGAGTGTTTTCCCAAGGTGTTCTTTTATTCAAAGTGTTTTGCATCGCCCTGCCTGCATTTGTTGCACTCATGAAACTCATGGAACCACGGGAGCATTGACTCTGCCCAAGCGTAGAATGCCACTGATAAGAAGAAACTCTAGCCCTGGCGCACTTGCTAGCTTAGCAACACAGCAGAACCACGTGCGACACTTGTTTACTGCCAGAGCGCTATGGCTTCTGGATTTATGCTTTATGCTTTCTCACTGTCATAATGCGCGGTAGAGTGATGGGCATAGACTCCGACGGAACTTTTGATGACAGTCCGCAAGAGGCATTGGAACGACACAATAGTATTGAATGCCGGCGTCTGCTTAAAAGCGATTGTGCAGCATACATCATGAGTTGTATCGTTCGGCCTCAGCGTTGCCGGAATCCGTGCAGATAGGCGCTACACTTCATTTCAAACACACGCCAGGACAAATGTCTAGTACTAGGGTATTCATGAAGCAACCTTTAGGCTCTTTTCCATACATGTTTATGCCGTCAGGCCTGGAGGTATGGCTTCAAAACGCAGCAGCACATCTGCATTTCTATCATTTGTCCGTAAGGCACCAGTGCGAAGTTGGGTCTGTTAGCAACGTGGGCTTCTAGTACGCAGTTTCAAGGCGTGTATGGACCTGCTTAGCGTTTGTCAGCGATTTTTGCATGGCACTAAAAACCTGGATTTTCTCAGGCTCCGACCAGAACGCTAAACCTTTACGGGGACAACAGTTCACCGTCCATGCTGAAAGCAGCTTGGTACAAAGGAGGTTTTCCAGCTATGACAAAATGGGCTCGAGGCGTCGGGTTCCCTGACTGGAGAGGGTGAGGACGTGCAAGAAGCTAACTCGAAACATCATAAGTACGATGTGGGTTTTGCAGAGGTTTAAAAATTCGCATAGATGATGGCGTGATAGAAGCCAGAAAGGCCGCAAATCCACGCCACGCCAATAAAAACGCCACATTTTGGACTTTCTTCAACTCAGAACTTTCAAAAATTTTCAGCTTTGGGGGCTAGCCGTGCCTTGGGCACGGCAGATTGTGTCAGACACAACGCTGGCGGCGTCAGGCTTGTACTTAGCTAGCTTCGGCACCTTGCCTGCAGTGGTTTTAACACTCCAAGCCCCCCTTTCACCTATGATTTCCCCTGGTTCTCCTGCCCTCTTTCTGAACCCCTTTATCTGGATTACCGGTCATCAGAAGGGACAGTGATGCTGTAGCATAGCGTGACCTCTTCAATCGTAGCGCTCCGTCAATCCAACTTCCCTTGAAGTACGTCGGCCCACACCGGACTTCCAGAGCAAGTGATCTTCCGAATTTCAGTTCAGAAGCGGCCTGCTTTCTAGGTTGCTGGATCCTAAGCGGCAGATAGGGTATGCTGACGGCACTACATACGCTGAGGAAGTCTTGAGAAAGTTACCAGCAGCTCGCCCGCCAAAAGCGTTTCTAGGTTCTAAAAGTTTTACGGCGTTGTTTTCCAGAAAGCCTGTAATCGCACCCCACCGCCTACATAAGGTCTGTAAACGACTCATGCGCATACAGCGTTCATGCTGACGTTTGCGGCGAATGGTAAACGAGAACCCCAAGCGGTGAGGTCTCCGCAAGAAGTCACCAGAAGTAGGCCCTTTTGGAGGAAATGTGGGATGAAGATGCCTAAGTTGCGGAGGCATCAGCCGTGTGAGAAGACAAGAACGTTGCAACATCGCATGTGTGCTGCTGTAGCATGCGCATTGGCTTCGTGGTCCACGTGAATGAGAGGTGCAGGCAACATGAGTAGTGTTACGTTACAGCCGACGCATTAAGCTTTTTGTACGTGACTTGCAAAGCCCGAAACTCCATCGGATCAAGCTGCTGATTACCAGCTCAACGAGCGACCGCTCAAGGCATTCCATTAGACAAGTGACAACTTGCCCAGAGACAACTTGCCCGAAGAATACGCAGCTTGGTTTCGAAAGTCAAAGTAAACCGGAATACGTTAATGTGGAAACAGAGAAGCTGCACAGTCGTCTAGGATGCTACGCAAGCGCAAGCTTAAGTGTTTGTGGGCTACGGGTCACTGACAGACTCAATGAACGTCACGATCAGTACCAAGCTTCATTAATTCTCAAGATCCGCATCCGTTGGGGAATGCCTGTGTATTTTGCAAATTTCAAGCATTTTCTGTTCGAACGAAAACGCTAGCTATTCTATTCAGCAGGGCACAACCCACTTTCCGGACGGTCATCGCCATCCGGTTGGTTGTGCCCTGCTGAATAGTCTGCAATCAGACTGGGCCCACAGATCCCTTAATCCTGCGCCCCCAACATGTGGCATTGTAGCAAAGAAAATATGATTCCTCAAAACCTGAAAGGACGGCTATATGGCTTGATAGTAACAATATGGATGAAGACAGAAACTCCTGCTCTGAACCAGGGTGCTCAGGAAACCGAATGTAACGAATGTCCAAAATAATCTGCAGAACTTCCCAGGGAAGCTTGTCAAATAAAACTTCTTGTTTGATTTCGATGAAAACCGAAGGAAAAATCCGAGAGCCACCTGTTAGGTGCAAAAGGACCGGGAATCCTCCTGCCTCGATCGCTGGGCGAGAGTGACGATGGAGTTGGTTGTGACGTAATCCTAATTCTTATCTAGGCAGTTAAAAAGATGTATTCCAGCATAATACAATGCCACAGCTTTAAATATCTGCTCAGCACATGCATATATATGGCCCTGACGTCCTCTGATGTCCTCAGTACTGTAGGACAACATGCCCTAGGCCACCTTGCCGCGCGAAACTAGCAACTCACTAGCATGTTCAAAAGTAAAAGGGATTGCATTCAGTCTAGCTGCATGCAACACGAATGCCTCGGCCACAACCAGTGTTACTAGTAGGTCCCAACAAAATATATAGAATCAGTGTCTAACAGAGAATCACGAAGCGACGAAGCACGAACACGTGCAACAACTCACCATTTTTTCGACGCAAGTATCGAACACTTCGAACCAGGCCCTGCAGACATTAATACCGAGCCACCGAACGCACTGTTCGCGCTGCAATGAAAGCAATTTCGGTCCCTGAGTAGAAAGGTCGCACAATTCGTGCTGCCTCACAAATTCCTTGCAACAGCAGACAAAAGTATCTTCAAAATTGAAGGAACGCTGTGTGCAGAAGCCAGAGATAACGCTCACTCGTACTCTAGTCATTTATCCCAGCACCTGGTTGAAGCCAAGAAAAATCGTCTGAACAGGGTACCAACGAGTTGCCACGTCGTTGCCAAGCAGTCAATAACGCGACCAAGTTTACCTACGAAGTTCGCTCCAAATGACAACTACTCCCGCCCACTTGACTTGAACAGCGCCAGTTGTGCGTGGTTTGTAAGACTGTATGCTCCTAACAGGACTCGGGACGCTTCTGCAAGGTTGGGAATCGGCTCTGTTATGTTCGACTGCTCCAAATGACACACTACACTGCAGCCTGGCACATCAACGGCCGTTCACTTGATAATATTCCTGAATAAGCGGCGACGAATAAGGTCTTCCGGAGATGCTCCCGTTCATTTGTTGAGAAATATATTTCGCATCTATCCTGATGTGTCTGCTCCACCAGTCGAAGGATCCGACAGTATCTGAAGTTCTTCTATTTGATATAGCCTCAAGCATTTGAGATCAATACGGCTTAAGGCGCAACTGCAGACAACCAGTTTGATAAAACAGCCACTTTCTCAGCAGAGACATTGTGAAAAAGGCACGCATGCGCGCTACACATTTGCCAGTATGCATGTTCCGCTGGTTGCACATTGCATCTCCTGGAGCCGAAGCAGAGGTTTTCATTGAAGCTCTGATGCTTTAATGCGGTTTAGAATTTCCCTGGGACGCCCTCCACTGGCGATCATCCGCTAACCACTCTTTCCAGTAGCCCTTACTGAGTGCAGGTATGGTATTCGCGCAAAGGATAGTTCGCTTGAGTCCAACCAGAAAATCTGCTGAAGGGCGCATACCGCGCCTGTAAAAGTTTAGAGCATTGTTCAGCGATTGCGCCAAATGATCATGTTTCACTGCCAGTGGACTTGTAGCTGCACTCCCGGAAGGGCCCGTATAGTATGGAATTGTATTCATGACTTCCTCCCACCATTTCTTGCGTTTTGCCCGTAATCCAAGTACCTCGCTGGCAGCATATAGCGAATCTACCAGCAAAAAAGCAAGCGCCAACCTTTGAACGATCACCTCTGGCTTCTCCCCTTCAGTTTCGCTCCTCATATGGTGCAATGCATAGTAGACGAGCCGCTCAACGGCGCTCATTAGGATTTCTAGATTCATACTGTCAAGGAATGGCATCTTCAGCAAGTCTTTCACAATCACCAATGCGTGAGTAAGGTACGCCTGCTTCCTGAATGACGCGTTTGAAAGCGCTGATCCAAAATGACGAACATAAGCACCCGGTAGCAAACGCGGCAACCTGACAAACGGGTGCGTGCTAAAATCCTTCTGCGAAGAAGCCGAACCCCCCAAAGGTGGAACACGAAAGTCAGAAACGGTACTAAGCGAGAGATTCGCCTGATAAGCAGCCAAATGAACACGACACCAAACTATCCATCTTCATATTTTGCTCAGTTTGAGAACGCCGCAAAAACACAAAAAGCGACGATTACTATTCAACGACAAAGGCGTGTCTGCATATGCGTTAGCAGGAATGTTAACTGTGAGTAACTTTTAAGCGTTCAGAAGAAGGCAGCTTTGCTGAAGAACGTGATATGACGTACCTCGTTTCTCAGGTTTTCATCAGAGATGGGCTTGTTTCCCTGTTGAATACTTTTCTGTCCAGCAAAAGCTGATAATTGGGGCGAAGCTACATCAAAGACAGTGGGTTGTGCTGACGATGGCTGCTGTTCACCCTGTTGAGTGGCCATCTGCTCAAAGAAAGGTGAAATTTGAAATGGAGACTCTCCGTACATTGGTGCTAGTGTTGACGATGGCTGTAACTCAGTTGGCACGGCTTGGAATGCTTCAGGAAACACTGGTGCACTTGAAAAAGGAATGTTTCCTGAGATGTCTGTAATTTTGAGTGCGTCGTGGCTCTGCGGGGGCTGAGCGTTAATCATCTCCTCAAGATAACCAAGAGACTCAGCACTGGGCCTGTTCATTAAGCTTTCAAAACTGGAGTCCAACTGCTGTTTAGTTGTCACAGTGTCATCGTCCTTCCTTGAGGAGTCCACTATGAACTCGGAATGCCCGCCTGCCCGTTGTGGCTCATCAGGTGCCAGTCTTGAGGGCAATTCTTCAAAGTCTTCACTGGAATTAAGAAGCCATCCCTCTACTGACAAGGCTGCATCTTCCACTGCGAGCGCCGATCCTATGAATTGACCCAGTGAAGTATCCAAAATAGCCGAAGTGGATTCTCCTGACTTCACAGCCGGCTTCTTCAGTTGCACTGAGAAGCCGTCATGACTTTCATGGTCTTGTTCCATTTTCCGCTTCCGTGAACTAGTGCCTGCACTTTTATCATTGGCATCTGCAATAGGCGGCATGTAACATATTTCATGAGCTTGCTGCTCTGATGCAGGGTGGGATGCTGGTCCTTCGCAAATTGGCCAGGCAATGTGTTCCGTCCAGCGAGTATCTGCCATGTTTTCACCCCCTGCAAGTTTCCTTTCTGCAGGCAGCTGTATCCTTCCCCTTTTGAGTAGCAGGGCACAGTAGGATACAAGGAAGAAGATAGCGAGGACAGAGGCAAAGGCAGCTAGGCTGGTAACAACAGTTGTGCTTCCTCGGCTCAGACCAACAGAAAGTGGCGACCGGCAGTATAAATATCTTCGTTCCTGCTTTTCTACTGAAGGAAAGACCGAAGCTTTGAAGTTCTGCAGATCACCCGCAAGCTGCTCCGCCTGTGGGGACCAACCTGGGGGCCTAGCGTTCACCATTGATCTTTGGAGGGAGCTACAAAATAATTCGTTGACTTGAAGCTTTTGACAATGAGATGGCAACTGAAGGAGACACTCTTCAATTGACGCTGGCCAACTACTTCGGGTCTGTCCACTGGGCCAGTGGCTTTAATCCGATGGACAGGTATTAGCTGTAGACTAAAAATAGTGTTAAGAAATAAAATTTGTACACGACGAGCCAAAAGGAAACAAAAAATATGGCCTTCGCAATGTTCGCAGTTGTCCAAATCCCCCCCTCAAGGGCACATGTGTAGCCACACCTTGCAAGCTTTGGTCAGGACAGAGAGAACTCTCGGCCAGCATGACTCTCTTGGAAAATCAGTAACAAAATGCCGTAGCTATGTACTGATACAATCCGCGCAGCAGGATCACTTTAAGGACGCTACAGAAAGAGCTCATCGGCTTTGACACTGTAGAGTTCCTCTTGGCGTGGCAGCTGCTACAACGTGCAGTAAAGAAAAAACTCCAGCGTGAAAACACCATTTCCTGATACTTCATAAGGGATATTTAGTTATTTCTGCCCAATATGCTGCCCAAGGATGTCTGTGACGTTTCTTGGCTCGCTGCATCGAGACTCGGGGAAACGCGCACGACTCGATCCCGCAGCACCTGCCTCACGATGGGACTCCGTGTCAGTGAATCATACAGAAAGTATTAGCTATACTGGACCTGAATATGAATTATGATAATGCTGGAGCTACTGTGGGGAACAAGGGCTGAAGCCCAGGTAGAAGAGGAAAAATTACAGCAGCGAGCACGAATTGCTTTTTGTTTCGAGCAGGAACTATCTGCCTAAACGCTCTCAGCTTCAGCAGCGCGTGCGCTAAAGCCCTTATGAAACATGTAGTTGCCAAAGAATATCAGACCAACGTAGTACAGCGGGATGCTGGCAATTCTAGGAAAACATGGGTATGGCCGCTGATACGGGCCGAAAAACGCAGAGGATATGTACGTGCGGATTCATATGAAAACATGGCTAAGACACCAATTAAGAGAACAGCGCATGTCTATAGATTCTATTTGTTACGATTTCGCAAGAGGACCCCGTTCCGTAGCTGGATTTCAACGAAGCAGCATGAGAACTGAAGGACTCTTCCATCTCCGTATTATCAACGACGAATAGACGTCACACACCTTGCTGCCTGAGCAGTTTGAAGCCTTGACATGCCCTTCCATCTCCATACAAACAGTGCCAGCGAAAGGTCCCAACTAAATATGAAATAATGTAGGCATCAAACAGAGAATACCACCAATCTACAAAACACGAACAGCTACAATTATTCACATTTTTGAGCTGCAGCTATCCGACACTGCGCGCCGGCAATCAAGAGGTAGTAATACCAAGCCACCGACACAAGTATGTTCAAGATTGAACGAAAAGTGTGCAGAAGGCAGAGATAGCGCCCACCCGTACTCCTCCGAGCAGCCAGTTGAAGCCGTGCAAAACAATGCCAACGAATTACCGCGTCGTTGCCAAACAATCAATAACGCGACCAAGTTTACCAATGAATTGTGCTCTAAATAAAAATTGTTTTCATACATTCCAACAGCCCCGGCTATGTCGCATCAAGGAGCTGACCTCCATCCCTAGTAGTTCGAGAGATTGTATGCTCCTCCCAACAGAACTCGAGGCGTTTCTGCAACGTTGTAGATCGGCTTTGTATGCTCAACTGCTCCAAATGACACAGAAAACTGCAGTCTGGTACATCAACGACCGCTCACTCAACAATAGTCCTGAATAAGCGCTGACGCATAATGTCTTTGGGAAATGTTCGCGTTTGCTCGCTGAGAAATGAATTTATGTATCCTAAGGTGTCTGCTGCACCAGTCGAAAGATCCGAAGAGCATCCGAAGCTCTTTCGTTTGATGTTGCCCCTGGCGTTTGAACTCAATAGAGCCAAGGCGCAACAGTAGACAACTGATTGATAAAACAGCCAACTTGTCGGCACAAACATTGTGAAAAAAGCACGCAATAGCACGTGTGCTCTACATTTGCCAGTATGCACGTTGTGCATGGTACCCATTGCATATCGTTGAACCACAACCGCGGTTTTGGTTGCAGCTCTGATGCCTTCATGTGGCAAAAAATATCACGGAAATGACTGCCACTCACGGTCATCATATGCCCAACTTCTCCAGGTAACCTGCTGAAGCCTATGGGATACCGTGGTCATTGCAATAAGGCGTTTGACTCGAATCAATACCTCTGGTGGGGCGCGCATACCGCGCCTGTAAAAGTCTATGCTTTGGTCAAGTAGTAGCGCCAAGTTAATATTGGAAGACTCTGCTGTGTCTTTCGGCACATTCCGAAAAGGGCCAACAAAAAATGGAATAGCATTGAGAACCGCCGGCCACCATTCGTTACGCCTTGCCTTTCGCCCCAGTACCTCACTCGCGGAATAAAGCGAATCCAACAACATAAATCCAAATGCTAACTTCCTGGCAACCAGCTTCGGTTTCAAATGGGTAGTGTCTGCATCCATACAGTACAGTGCGTGGCTAACGAGTCGCTCAACGCTTATCACTAGGTCCAATAACTCGGTACTTCCAAGAATTGGCAGCTTCAGGATTCTCCTGATGCAGCGTAGTATGTGGTACGCATTGCGAGAAGAACCGGGTGGTGGCTTGATGTTTTCCCACTTCATTCCTCTCACAACAGCACCGGGTGCGACACGCGGCAGTCTGACGAAGGGGTGTGTCTCAATATCCCTCGCGAAGGGCAAATGTTGCTCAGCAAGGGAAGAACTTTGCTGTGTCTGAAACGCAATCAAAAGAACATGACACCAAACGCTCCACTTTCACACTTCGCCCGATTTTCAAAGGCTGCAAAAGATGATTAGGCAAGGAAAGAGATGATAATTATTGTGTTGAAAGATCTGCTCGCACGCAGAATGACTGACTTCTAAGCGTGTAAGGGGAAACAGCACCACTCAAACATGTGAGGTGACATGCCTCGTCCCTCAAACTCTTGCCGAATTGAGAATTGGATCCCTGTCGGGTACTCACCTGTCCCACAAAAGGCAAATGATATTGTGAAGACATATTGCTGACTCCGGGTTGTGCTAACTGTTGCTGTTCGTACCCCTCTTGCGCCGTCACCTGCCCATTTGGAGGAAAAACTTGAGATGAAGTCTCTCCGGGAAGTGTGGCTTGCTGCTCGTATCCCTGCTGCCCCGTCACGTCCCCACTTAAGGAGAAATGCTGATATGGAGTGCCTCCGTAGGCTGCGGCTTGCTCTAACGGTCGCTGCTCATATGGCCCCGTCACCTCCCCACTTGAGGAGAAATACTGAGATGGAGTGCCTCCGTAGGCTGCGGCTTGCTCTAACGGTCGCTGCTCATATCGCCCCGTCACGTCCCCACTTGAGGAGAAATACTGAGATGGAGTGCCTCCGTAGGCTGCGGCTTGCTCTAAAGGTCGCTGCTCATATCCCCCTCCGGCGACCACGGGTCCAACAAAATGTAAATGCTGAGATGAAGACCCTTCATAGTCTGTGCCTTGTTCTGACGGTGGCTGTCCGTATCCCTGTTCGGTGCTCGTCTGCCCAAAAAACTGTAAATGCTCAGACGACGACCCTCCGTACATTGCGCTTAGTGTTGACGGTGGCTGAAACTCAAGTGGCGTGGCGTGGGATGCTTCCGGAAACACTGGCGCACTTGAAAATTGAGTGCTTGCAAGTCCGTCTGCAGTTATCGGTGCCTTCTGACTCAGCTGGGGGTGAGTGCTAACCCCCTCAAAGAAACCACGAGACACAGCACTGGGCCTGTACATTAAGCTTTCGACACCGGATTGGAACTGTCGTTTAGATGACACAGTGCCAGCTTCCTTCCCTGAGGAATCCATAATGAAATCTAAATGCCCGCCTGCTTGATGTGGCTCATCAGAAGCCACGTTCGGGAACTCTTCGAAGTCGTCGTTGGCATCAAAAAGCCACCCCTCTAGTGACAACGCTGAGTCTCCTGCTGCCAGCGTCTCGTCAATCAACTGACTTAGCGTGCTGTCTAAGACAGGATTCACAGCTGATTCTCCTGGAAGCTTCACTTGTCCCTTTGCCCTCTTCGGTTGCAGTAAGAACCCATCATGCTTTTCGGAGTCATGTTCCATTTTCCGCTTCGATGAACTAGTGCCTGCACTTTCATCATTGGCATCTGCAATAGGCAGCTTGAGAGACATTTCAGGAGCTTGTTGCGTTGATGCAGGCTGGTATTCTGTCGCTTCACATATTGGCCGGGCATCGTGTTCCGTTGTGTGCGTACCCGTTGTCCCATTGTCTTCTGCAAGATTTCTTCCTGCAGACATCCGTAGCCTCTGCTTTTTTTGGAGCATAGAGCAGTAGGATACGAGGAAGAATACAGCAAGGATTGATGCGAGAGCTGCTGCACAGATGATAGCGGGGGAACCACGACCTCCGGGGAGCCGGGGGCTAGACCACAGGCTGTACGCATCATATTGTGTCTGGTCCCTTCTCAATGATGAGAACACCGGACAGACAACTCCTCCATGCGGATACTCGTGGCTCTCTTGCTTAATGTGAGGAGAGAAAACCGCCATCGATCCTCAGGTCTTCCTGGGATGTTACTGAGGCGTTATGATGGTGCCTGAGAAACCGGATTTCTTTTAAAAAAACAACAAACGAACCTGAAATGGCCAGGTTGGTTTCAACTGCTGCAGCATTTGAGGCGCTGCATTGAAGTCTGGAAAATGCGCAAGACACCCCTTGCGATGACTGCTCAGTTCCACAAAAGAACGGACTGCCGAACAACAAAAGGAACACTCAGTCAAAAATTATGAGCAATGATTGCTGACAAGTAATGCTGCTTTATCATTAGCGAAGCCATCCCCAAACTGAGGATACCGTGCACCGCTCATGGGCAACTAATCTGGGCAACGCTGTGCATTGTGCCCATCAAAACCGGAGATTCATGTCATACATATTTACGAAGTTAAATATTTGGTGAGTGCAAGAAATAGGAACGTTGTATTCCCCTGATTTTGGCGGACTAGGTACAAGGTGCGAACTCTCCGTGGCGATATGCCAAACGGTGGACAAAGCAACCAAAATCAGTCCTACAGATGTTCTTTAGGTTTGAAATTGGTGCATTATCGTAAAGACTCAACTGCCTTTGCTTGCGCTTTGATTTTTCTGTCCCCTTCTTGCCTACCACCACAATCGAGATCTCAGTCTCATCGAGCCAAAGTGGATGTCTTGTAAGGCACCGCCTTCTGCTTGCGGAAATTGCTAATGGGATAGCCTTTCGGTTTGATTTTTCTGAAAAAATTGAAATTCCTTAAATGTGTCTGAAGCTAATTGAATTTTCCAACATTAGTTGTTGCTAACTGCCTGTGCAACAGTAAACCATCAACGCTCCAGTATGACATTAAGTGAGGGATTTATAGCGCATCTAAAAAGACGTTGCTAGCGCCTCAGACTTAACAAAGAGTCTTTTTCTTGTTTATTCTCAGGTGTATGATGCTGGTTGTCCAATGAGTTTAAAACTTTGAAGGGCTGTGCGCTGAAGACCTCACGGGCTCACGGCCCCAAAAATAAGTAAATTAGTCCCTAATTTTTCCAGTTATGTAAACTTGAGTACCATTTTTCCTTCCAACAGGTTGGTAATTCAATGCTTTACCTTGTACGCATTATAGGGCCGCAAGGAGCCGCTCATGGCTCCAGGAGAGAGGAGAGGGCTTTGGAGGGCCCTCACGCATCGCGGGTTCTCTGATATATCTCTTCTGAGCGTTGCCCTTTTCGGGCAAACAACAAGCAACATTAGTTTTAAAAACGCGCAAGGCCGATTGATGTTTTGTACCACCTCAAATCGAAAAATTACCCCAGCAGGCGCCTGCTCTGCTGGTCGGATGCAGCTGCCTGCATACTAACGGAGTGACTGTTGGCCGTGCACACGACACAGCGGTGCACTGATAATGAGTTCCCTTTGGCATTAAAAAGATTCTTGTGTGGGTTCTGTTTCCAGCAATATCAAAATGCACTGCACGCGCCGTTGAACCTTCCTACATTGTAAGAAGGTTCAACGGCGCGTGCAGTTACTGGAGCGCACTAGCCTAACCAGCCCGCTTCACTGCTATGTCTTGTTGCACAGACACATTAGCATTTCAAGCTGTTCTCCAACAGTTGAGTGCCCCCAGCCGCGCCGCTGAAGCCAGTCGAAAGCCCTCCACGGGGCTCCTCCAGAGGCCACGCTAAGGCCTTATAACTCTGGAAAATTGTTCTTCTATACTTGCTTTACAGAACTTTTGTAGCTAGTCAGGACCTGAGGTCCTAGGGCGAGTGTCTTTATCAGCTCTGGCGACAGGAGTTTCGGTGTCATGCCTTCCATAGCGAAGCCTCGCTCTCGCTTGGATAACAAGACGCATATCCAAAACATCTCAAAGAACATAACAAAACTGGTTTCTGGATAGATTCTGAGCAGCACGTCAGAATGGCACCTCCTCTAACGTTCGATAACGCTGTCCTTCTTACCAGCTCTTCACTGTCCGTGCGGGACGTAGCTCTTGGCAAGATTCATAGTTACGCACCATCACACCTGGCAGATAACAAACGATGGGAATGTCATGAAACAACCACGGTAAAAACGTAGTTGCCCTCTACCGATTAGCTCAGTCGTTGTGGGTGGCTACCTGGTGAGGGTGATGGGCGCGGCCAACGCTTCTTCGAGACTGCCCAGGCTGCTCACTCATGCGTCCATGCCCAATAAAAAAGGCACGAGGCGTCAAATTATCTCTCAGTGATTTTGTATGGCCTGCAAATACAAATCAGTTCCAGTCTTGTACACTGGGCGCGCACAGTGAAGCACGCAAAGGAACCGTTGTTTGCTGTGCGTGGCCCCTCGCCTCTTGCTCGTGTTTACGTTTGTCCAGAGGAACAGAAATTGTCTAATTCGTTGGACACCCATTCCGAACATTATTTTTCTGCAGCTGGCTCTTGTCTTAGCGATGAACCTCAGCCATCTTTATTCTTTAGGGTGCCACGTAGCCCTGTAGCTTTCGGGCCCGTGACCGCGCGTAGGGTCAGCTCAAGAGGTTTTCAGCGACGCAAGTGGTTGCTAACTACCGGTCTCTGGCCTTCCCCTAGCAATTCCCTGCTACAGGAATAACGCCCCCTTGACCCATGAGCCTCATGGTGCGCCACCTCGACAGGAGTTGCTACCCATTTTGCTTTCGTGTTAGCCTCTGCGTCGTGAGCCCGCGATAAGTAACAGACATATCACTACTTGACCACTACAACTTTGTGTTTTATGCAGCGTGTACTCTCTCTAGAGGTGACTTTCGCTGCACACTCAGGCCGCTACACCTTCAGCACTAAAACGTGGCACGGCGTCAGGCAATGTTCTTCGTCACTCAAGGCGTACTTAGCCAGAATCGCTTATTTCCAAAACTTTAAACAGCGCAACTGCAGAGTGTGGGACGTCGAATGCATTTCTGTAACTAATTGAAGAAATTGCGTTGCATGCAGCATTTTGGGGCTGTCATTGGTTTTGCACACTTTTCACAGGCAGCTTGCGTTTTTGAGCTCCTAATATTCAAGGGTACATATATGAAGGGTGCAGAAGTAACATGTAATGATTAGCAAAGTTCCTATGGTTGTGCGACTATCTCAACGAAGGATTACTGTTCGCGCTCGCTTCATTGCTGTGGTGCCGCCGATTCTCAGGACGTGAAACTGCTTAATAAAGATATTTTCCTGGTGTAGGTGCATAATATTCGTGCTCTGTCAGAATATATCATAGTCTCCTCACCTCCTTCAAGACTTTTCTGCGCATTGCGTAGAGATGACAGCCAAACCGCCAACTTCAGCGTCATCAGGAAGAAAAACCCCCAGTGAATTCCTTCAGAGAGTCTTGGGTGGAAATGTTCTCGTAAAGCTGAACAGTGGAGTAATATACAAAGGTAGGCCGCAAGCGCAACACGCTGGCAAAATCATCAGAGTGCCTCAGAAACTTAAGGACGCTGCTGAAAGCTGATGACTCTCGAACGCGTATCCTTCACATGAAGGCCGCGTTCAATGTATATTTCATAAATGCACCATGCCAAGCTAGTGTCTGTAGATCCGCTGAAACCGGTTTTACGTACGCAATTTGCTGGCCCCACCTTCCTCCTCTTTACGGGCAGCTGCCTAAGGGCTTTATATGCGTGTTCACTGCGCTGTTCACTACAGGTACCCTACAGTGTCTTGACGACAGAATGAACATCGCTCTAGAAAAAGCGCAGGAATTTTCCGAAGAGCAAACACTTGTGGCTTCCTATCCTCTAGCACTCATCCGAGGAAACAACGGTAAGTGCTGCACCCAACCCTGTGCCTCGACGGCACAGTAGAGTATTGAGTCGTCCAGATCATGGAACGCTGCGCAGTAGAGGGTATACAGGCCTTAGAGCGGGCACAACTTGCCTCCCCATTACATTCGCACAGTGCAGTGCAGCGGGCTCTTGAAGTGTGCTGTGCTGTCGCTCCTTCAGTCCTTTACATAAGCTCTGAGCAGGGAGAGGGAGATAGCTGAAGGCATGCTTCCCCGGCGTTCAGCGCGCTAAACAAGTGCAGGCTTCTCACGGCCTCACTCTTTGCATTCTGTAGCGAAGCCCGGAAGTATCAACGTCGCAGGCTGCTGCTGCACGGCGGTCGAACTTGTCACGTTCTTTCTGAGAAAACTCGCCACTCCGGCATTTCGACGAACGCTGTGCAGCTCCAAAATCCGGTGTATCTGTCCGTTACAAGCAACATATTGTTGCGTGTTGTATTGCTGCACTGCGTACCCGCAATGCACCCCTAGCGCATAGCTAAAGCGAAAGTGCCTACTTGCTGCGTAGCTCTGCTAGCCATGTTAACCGTGCTGCAGAAGAACCAAACGTTGCGCTCGCAATAAGGCCAGCTCTGCTACTCAGCGTAACTCCCGAGTGACGCTCCCGTATTGGGTGGAAGTCCAAGCATTTCCGTCTGATGCAAATGAAAGTCGCTGCAGAGGAGTAACCCCAAAGGGCAACCGCGCTAACATGCAAGCACCGCAAGCACTTCTATTCATCCACTTCTGCATCTTTATGTTTCTTCTTCTTGTGCTTCTTCGAAGGCTTATCGGCCTGTTCCTCGTCTTCTGCATCCTCACCCTCTATGTGTCTCTTTTTCTTCTTCGGCTGCGCAAAACGTACTCGCAACGGACTTGCAAATGAACGGTGTGAACGGCAACTACACACAACTCATGTTCTCCAGAGCTAATCCGCTACGAAGGGCCATACCTTTTCTGTAACGCCATTTTGTGCAGTCCCCCCCTCACACTCTGGTGCGCCTTCCTCCCGTTCCGACTTCACAGCATTCTCGGCTGGAGCTTCAGGCTCGCCAGTCAGTTTTGGAAGGAAGCCCTCAGTCTTCAGCCACTCCTTCGGCGTGTTCTCGTTGGGGCGGCCTTTCTTATCCAGCAACCCCCCTAATATCATCTTCTTCTTCTCCGAAGCACGCGGGCCATAGCCCCAACGCATCGCGTATGTGTCGCGATCCATTAAGACCCGTTTAACAGCCGCAACAATTCCGTGGTCGACGCTTGCAATTACCGGAGTAGACATTTGAGCAATGCCTGCATTTTGCACATAACTGGACACAATAAAAAAACTTCACACACCGGGGCGGAGCAAAACGGGCACTCTACGATGTTCCTTTGACGCCGACTGACCCAGGGCTATTGCCTCTCCTTTGGTGGTCATCAAGACCACTTCTGCGTTAACCTCTATATTATTTTCAAACCGCAAAACGCCCGGAATCATTAATTTCGCGCCGTAGCAGATGGCGTTGACGCAGGAATCCTTAACGACGATTCGCGGTAGTCCGACGAGCAGCATTTCCAGGGGGAAAATGATTCTGCAAGTAAGCACAGAAAATAAGTGGAGCACAACGGCCCTATGCGTGGTGCACATAAATACTTTGAGTCTATTAGCTAATGTCCTTAAGCTGCAGCGCAGTGCAGACAACTGCCAGACGAGCCTTACCGTCTAAGATACGTTTCGTCCCTAAATGCGTCGTATACAAACATTGCATCCAGTACATCATGGAGCGTAACAAGATTGCCATCTTCCTGCAAATTGCCGCTCCTTACTCTGCGCAGCTCTTGCATGTGCGCGCCCGTGCCTAGGAGCAGGCCCAGGTGGACGCACAGCGTACGAATGTAGGTGCCAGCTTCGCAAGATACGCGGAAGACACACAGGTGTTTGTCCTCATCATAAGAAAGAATTTCGGATTCATATATGGTCCTGGCGCAAACAACCAACATCAGCATCATGAAAGCAGTAATCCGGTAAATTGACCTCTTCCTGTCACTGCCGAGGCTTGTAAGCCGGGAGCTACGAAAATCTACGCAGACATATGTGGCTCAGATGTGCCTCAAAAGAATAATTCAAAAGATCCCCAATATGCGCAGAGTTCCTTAAGTGAAAGTAACACACCTGATGCGCAGCTGGCGTTTGACGGCCGATATCACGGGTGGTCTTTGGAACAGGGCTCCAGTAAGCGTCTCAAGTGCCTGCATGGAAGCGACGTCTAAAGTACGCACTGAATGTCGGCGCCCTTTGTGGAGCTTTCAGCGGATCCTCTCTAGCCTCGCCACCCGTGATGTGCTCAATCGATGTGGGAGAAAGGCGGCCGCTCATGCTTGCAATGAACTTTAGAACTCACTCGCGCGACCTTGGCCTTGCTCTCCGGCTTGGAGTGGAAGCGCGCAACTGCGACGTACTCCTTACCGGCGCTCTGCTGACTCTTGACAAGACGAGTGGCTCTGGAAAACACAGCATATGCATGCATTTTTGTTTCACGCCCTCCCTATCACTCGATCTGCGCTTGTGGTCCTCAATTGGCGCACTAAGTTACCTGTTAATGCACACGAGCAGGCAGCCAGTGACTTTAGGGTCAAGGGTTCCACTGTGGCCTGTCTTCTCAACTCGCAGGATTTTCTTAAGCCACGCCACCACCTGCGTTCGACAAAAACCACACATTTCCTCATCACATTTGCAAACCCCGAAAGGATTATCAATGAGGCGCATTTCCAGAGAAGCATCATACGGCAGCAAATCCACAGGCCGAGCCGCGCGGCACTGCAACCCCTTCTACACCCACCTCGTGAGATGAAGGGTTTGCTGCCTTATCAAGAAGCAGCGATCCATAGTTCAGATGCTGCTGAAGAGGCCTTGCCAAAGGGCTACTTCCAAATGGCAGAGGCGTGTAGTGCCCTGTTCGGACATTCAGTCTGTCGTAGTTCTGTGTCAGGCGCGAAAAGGACAGATAACCACAACGGTGCGCATGAGTGAACGAGCATGCTCAAGCACACATTAGGAACCTCAATACCTCAACCAAAAGGATCTTAAAATGCAAAATCTGGAGCGCGCCAGTGAGGCGAACTGTAGTATACATACTTTCAAAAGTAGCGGCCACTTGCTTGTGTCGATGGGCGGAGCGGTGCTCGTGGGTTGGATGACGAAGCCCTCTGCCTTCGCTGCCTTTTTCTTCTCCTTCTCCCCCATGATGCCAACGTATATTCATTCAAAGACGTTTTTTAAGCCTTCGACCAAGCGAGCCAAAGGGACGATGCAAGTTTGGGGCTCAGGGAATATGCTTGCAAACTCCGACCTGTGGAGAACAGTCCCTCCTCCGGGACACAGCGGCAAGCCTCTCCCTCTTTTTTCTCTATGAAAGAGACGACTGGGCGAAGAATGAATCTTGAAGCGCACTGGAACCTCTCGGCAAGCCGCGACAAAACCTGGCGGTGCTCATTGGGTAGGCATCCCCCCTCCCGCGATGAAGAGCACGTCCTTAACTTTCTACCTTTAGAACGACAAAAAAAGGTAAGGCTGAAGTGCAAAGTGTTTGGAGGGATGAGGCATGCAGCAGCTGTAAGCGTCAGTTACTGCTGTTGTGGGGCAGAGGGCCCTCCATCAGCTGCTGTTGTGCTATAGCTGCAGCGGCTTGCATCTGCTTCTCTATCAGTTGCATCAGAAAACAGATACATAGAAGGACCCAGATTTTTATGTTATCCATTCCTCGGTTCCTGCAACAGCAGTATAGGCAACCCAGCGGCAGAAGCAGAAGACTATGTGCCTTGGGGCTGGGCCAAAGAAGCCTGCAATGCCTGCAGTACCCACATAGATCTTCACTGAATCTGCACTCGTGAGTACCAATTTTAACGTAATGATTACCGGATGCTCAACCTTAATTTTATTATCTACTCAGTCTTGCAAAGTGTGCTAAAGGACGACGTTTTTCATGAGATGCTGGGGGGCCCCGAATGGACGCGTAGAATAGCTGCTGTTGAGACGGCAACCGTGTGCAGAACCTCAGCTGACCACGTTCTAAAACCATTATTTATACTTCCAAACACTTAAAGGAGCTTCTAAGTATTACTGCATCGCTTCTTCTCCCTTGTAGTGCCTAGGAGTCACGATCGAGCTTGACACAACGCAGGCAGCGGTGGCGTTAGTAACCACCACATGAAAGCTAATACTAAAAGAGGGTGGCGTCTCAAGCCGCTCAAGCATGCTGATGAGATTGAATATGAGTAGAGAGAGGGTCTCTTCGGGGCCGCAAGACGGGTCCCCGCTGGAAGCTCCTGTGTCAGCAAATGCGTTCCTGCCTGCCAGAGGGCCAGATCTCTTGAAAGCTTACCAGCACACACATATCCCGCAGCCTTTAAAGAGACCAGATAAGAATTTTTGTCAGAGTCAGCTACTGAACCATAAGAAGCCGCACCGGCAGCAGCAGCAGCAGATGGAACGCCACATTATTAGGCCAACGGCTATGGTGACCCAGAAATATCAAGAACCACTACAACAGCCGCACCTTCGACAGCCAGTCAGATACAGTCAGTCTACTTATCGCCATGGGGCCTGCAGCCGCTCGAACTCTTCCTTGGCGACTACAGAAGAACGCAGCCTCTCCCAGCATGTGAGCGGAAAGCTCCCCACGCAATATTGCAGTAAGGGAGCCGCCCGCTGTGTCTGTCATTGCGTAGCCCAAGCTGCCTTTACTAGTCGTACATTTAACAGAATCAGCTATCGCAGCACTCGCAGCAATCTAGGACCAAGTCTGGTTGACAACAAACGGGACACAATCCCCGACTTGAAACTCAACGTCTCAACCGTTGTGGATGCGTCGGGTGACCTTGCAGCCCCTCCACCAGTTTCCCCCTCTGCTTTCGCCGCTGTACCTTCGACAACCCTTTCAGTGGGAGGCGAGTCGTGTACAGACTGGGGAACAATATCAGCGGATGATAGCTCCTGTTGCAACGGCAACGGCAGCAACGTCTATGTCGCAGTTAGAGTGCGTCCTCTGAGCGAGACAGAACGCATACAAGGCGACATGAAGACTGTTTCTGTTTTAGACAGTAGATCGCTAACTGTTACTGAGGTAGGAGCAGAAGGGGGCCCGCGGGGCAGGCGAGTGAGAAAGCGGTACTTCTCATTTGACTCAGTGTTTGGAGAAACAACTGACCAAGAAGAAGTGTTTCAAGGATGCACTCTGCCTCTTCTGCATGATCTGTTGAAAGGAATAAACGTTTCTGTTTTCGCCTACGGAGCAACAGCTGCTGGAAAGACACATACTATGCTAGGCAGTGAAGCGGCACCTGGAGTTATGCCTAGGGCTCTACAGCTGCTCTTTCAGCAGGTGGAACATCTCTAAGCTCACTCTGTAGATTCTACCAGGCAATTTAAATTATATTTTGGTAGCTGGTGACCTTGTGCTTCCTGTAATTGCGTCCCTTTTTTGAAAAATTTGTTGAAAAGTTTGGCTGCCGATGCAAAGCCGAGTGAAAAGATGCAGTGGAGCCACATAAGCGAAGCATAGAAAGAAAACGCGCATATTTTCCGAAAGAACACTGTAAAGTTTAGTCAGATCTTTTGTCAAGTGCCCTTTCACTTCTCCCAGTCAAGGCGTCATGTGGAAAGTTGTCGCAGCCCAACGCTTTTAATCAGACAACAAATCGGACTGCGACAACTTCCCACATTACGCCACTGCTCGCAATGTCCTGAGCACGAGAAGTATCGCCTTGTCAAATCTGAAATTTTCTTAGGTCTGCGATGAGAAAGAAAGGGAGTTTTCACTGAGCTGCTCCTTTGTAGAGATATATAACGAGACTATTCGAGACTTGTTGGGGTCCCGGACTGACGTGTGCGAGCTAAGAGAAGACCCGGAGAAGGGTATGGTGCTTCAGCACGCCACTATCCACAGATTACGTTCGAAACAGCATGCGTTGTTGCTTCTACTGGAAGGAAACGATAAACGGACACAAGAAGCAACAAACGCGAACCAGACGTCCTCCAGATCTCACGCCATTCTACAGGTTAGCTAAGCAGAAGTCACCTTCGTAACTTTTCAGCACAAGCCGTAGGTATTTGTCCCCATGCACGTATTCATTTTCGTGTCAACTGAGTCCTTCTAGGTTCTAAGCGCCCAAGGTATTCCAACTAGGCCTCCAATTCGCAATTAGGCCTGTTCCAATCTTAACAAATGCATAGATCCCAAGAGCGGCCGCCCTTGCCTCTGCGTCTGTTGTTCTTGTTCTGGCATACACCTGTATATGGCATTATTTCGGATATCATGTGGATCCAAAAGCCCCCATTGGTATGTGCCCATGTGACTTCTCCACCGTTCACTGCAGGTAAATATCTTGGCTCGTGACAGATCCGGCGAAGAGAGCCAGCTCGCAAAGCTGTCGCTGGTGGACTTGGCAGGAAGTGAACGAGCCTCTCATACGAGCAACCACGGACAAAGGATGACGGAAGGTACCTTTTAGCATGCTATCCGTAACTTTCTCATTGGACATGAAACCGTAACTTCCCATTTTTCCTATTCAGATGTTTTCACCCGTGTATTATTACTTTGCCTAAAATGTTTTCTGTGGTTACCTTGGCATTTGCCATCTGTTTACCCTCAACAATTAGTCAAGAGAAGCAGCAAAAATTAGCATGGAGAGCTTTGCAAGAACAGTTATGAGCCTTCAATTGTCTTTTCCTATCTCCGGAAGAACCGCTAAAGACTGCGCAGCCTATTGTGTTGAATCCACATGTGAATTCCACACCCTAAATGCTTTTGTGAAGACAGAAAATTAGTTTCTTCTCCTGTTTTCTTCTCAGGCGCAAGCATCAACAGGTCCCTACTGGCTCTCGGAAACGTTATTAACGCGTTAACAGTGAAGGGGAACGTCTCTGGAAAGGCTTCTCTACGATTTGTTCCCTACAGGGACAGCAAACTTACGCGGCTTCTTAAAGATAGTCTGGGAGGTCGCTGCCGAACAGCCATGGTGGCGACAATATCCCCCGCCATAAGCCACCAGGAAGAGACACTTAACACTTTAAAGTATGCAAAAAGGGCCAAGGCGATTCGCAACTCCTCCGACCGAGCCAGAATCACCAGACTGCAGGGTCGGGAAGCACCAAGCGAGTCTGCCGCTGTGGCTGGTCTGAAAGCCAAGCTGCACCAGCTTCAGTGCCAGATAAGTCGTCAGGTAAATAATCTGGTGATAATTATCGTAGTAAGAGTCACAGCTAATGACTGGCTTCCTGAAAGCCGCAGATATATGCCAACTACGCACTAAACAGGAACGCCATAAGCAAGGGCTGGTGGCGTTAAGCTTACGTTATACGCTTCAGAAGACGTGCTAACAAACCCAAGACCACAAATTGTAGACGAAAAGCGCTCATGAGAAATACTAAATTCCAGCGTGCTCTCCATTCTTGACTTCCTTTGAATTTTGATTATATGCGTGGAGAACTTAGCAGATTGCTTGGGTCCTATACCCAAATAATCTTTGAGCATTTTACCTGCCTGTTGGTTGTTCTGGAACTCTGTAGGCAAGCAGTCCCTCAGCTGAAAGTCGATTCCTTCGCCTGGTACAGGCAAGCCCCATACAAGGATCAGAATGAGGGAAAATAAGATGAACGGCCATTCAGAAGACACGTTTGTAGAAATGCTGACGTGTATACGTGCCAATGCCGGGTTTAATTATTTTTCGTTTTGCACGAGAGTGTGTGCGAATAGCGGCGCCATCCACAAAATTGGCATCCATTCCTCTTTCTGCATTAATATGCTGATTTTTATGCTCATCTGTGTTGATCGGTGCGAATGTTGGTCTATGCGGGGACGCGCACCAAATCCTAAAGAAGCACATCTGCAATAAGGCACATAAAATGCTTGTTAAGCAGAAATCGTGTCAAATCGTTCTGCTCTTTCAATATTAATAAATACAGTATGGTAGAAGTGAGTGGAGGCATGCCTACTATCATATTCAAATAAGGGATTGTCTACAAGTATCTGTCTCTGCTGGCACATAGAACTGTGCACATACTCTTAATCAATTTATTTCCATGTACCTCAGGTGTTTTCTGTGAATTCTAATCTCTGCAGAGTTATTTCGCCTTCCATTGCAACCCGCCTGTTGTGAGGAAGGTTCGCATTGGATAGGCATCCAACCGCTCCATGTTGTTATTTTTCTGTGTTGCCCTGCATCTTCAGGATCTGCATGAGAGACTACATATGAGAAAGAGACTTCATGCTGGCCAAATTATGTCATTGCTAGATGCTTCCGAGGAGCCAGAGGCACGCCAAGGCCTAAACACTAAGCTGTAGATTGCCTGGCTCCGGTTGGGAAGCCTGTATTCTTTGTGCCTATTTTTTGTTCCCTTGCATATTCTTCTTTGCGTGCCAGCGGCTTTGGGCCTAAAAGAAATGTTTAATGAGAAGTTGAGCAGAAACGCTGTTGCGTTTGTGCTTTTTTCCCCCGTGAGTTGCATTTGTTTTGTCTGCGGCTGGCCGCGCATCCGCTTATGTGTCAACACTTACGCATGTTGTGGGTGAGACGCAGCCTACCGTCACAGAGCCACAAATCTCCGAAAAAGTGCCCAACGGGGAATTGACGGCTTTGGGGTCTCAGGCGGCTGCCCATGCGGTGAACCTTCTATTTGAGGACATAGATGCGCTAGCCACTGAAAACGCACTCCTCACGGTAAATGATTCTTTAAGGAAAAGAAGACAGAACGTGTACATGCAGTGCTTTGTGCCTCAAGCCTCAAAAGCTCAGCATGGGATATTTCTTTTGGGAAGGCTTGCTTCGAGGCTCATAATATAAAAATAAGCTTTCCGTATAACACGAAGTTCAACACAGAAGCAGAAAGGCAGCATCAGACTCAAGTGTCGAACTGCAGCTGTCGGCAGATATGAAAATGAAAATTGGAAGCCACTGCAACATATCGTGTATGCCCTTGTGCGCCTATAGGCATGTTTACGAGACAGATAGGCGCTAGTTGCATTCAGTGACAGGTGATTGCGGATGTTGTGCCCTCAGGAACAAGTCGCAGCTCTTCAGGCGAGCTTGCGGGAAAGCGGGGATCGCTTTGCTTTCCTTCAGTCGTTAGCCCAGCAGCAGCAGCAACAAAATCGATATGAAGCTGCAGCTGTAGATTCGAAAGGTTTCTCCTTGTCAGCAGCTGCAGAAGACGACAAGCTCAGTTGGGCAGACCTGGCAGCACCAGTCACGCAGGACGCCGGCAGCAGCGATCGAACTGTAACGGGCGACAAAGGGTTGGAAGTGCTGCTCCGCATGCGGCCATTAAACCAGTTGCAGCAAATCCATCAGGCGGAGGAGGACTTCGAAGTTCCCACTGAGGAACAGGAGCTTGAGGACGTGGAGGCCAGCAGTGAGAGGCAGCAGACGGAGCAGCCAATAGCACTGCAGCCGGAAGGGCTGGCGCGCAGCAAAGATACAATGCACTTCGACCAGTACTTCTCCCCACAAAGTGCCAGTGCCGCAGAGGGAAGTCCCTCAACAGCGATAGCAGAAACAGCAGTAGCTGCAGTTGTTAATAACGGGCCCGCTGAAGAAGCTGCTACCAAGTCTTCCGGAATAGCCCGCTCCCTTGGGCTGGGCCCATTTCGCTTCTTTGGAAGAAGCGGCGCCTTGAGCAGGCTGTACGGCACAACGCCTATCTCTAAGGCTGCTGTATCGCCAGCGGTTCCTCCCGTTGCCGCTGCTGTTGCTGCTGCCGGTACCTACGCTTTTGGCTGCAAAAGCCCCGTTGATGGATAAGACGCTTGCGCTTAAGAGACCGGAGCAGTTTGTGGATGCATGTGATTGACGGAAGGCAAATAGTTCAGGCTCGCGATGCACTTAGCCAGCTGTTTCTGTCATTCAAGTATAGACAAAGCAGCTGCCTTAACCCTAATATGCTGAAGGCTCTGGCTGTCGAATCCACGGAAACTAGTGCTACAATTGTTCTTCCCCTCTGCATCTATCAGTCACCTTAGCAACAGTTTGTCTGAGGTTCGGCTGTGTGAAGAACTGTCCGGCGAACTGCAATAGCTGTCCCTCATGCAGCCTCTGGTTCTGCTGTAGCCGTTGTTGGTGCTCGAGTACAGCGCCGAGAAATGCCAGTATCAGTTCACTTAACTCAGGATGAGCTGCAAGGTACCTGCACAACAAAAAGTAGCGTCTCATCTTGCGCTCTTCTCTTTCACTGCCTCCACGAAACGTAATTAATCGCTACTTGTCTTAGGGAGTTGCATTTATCACCCTGCCCACGTCCACACTCTTAGATAGCTATTTGGCTAGATTATCTACCCAGCTACTTTGGCAGGTCGGTAGCTATGTCTCGAGGTGTCTTGCATAAGTGATTCGCAGTTTTCTTGGCTTTTTACTGTAGGTTACTGGACCCCCAGCCCCTGAGTCCTACTCAAAATGATACGGTTGCTAACTAGTTCGTCACGCGCTATACATGCGTTGAACAGTACAATAAACTACAGAATTTAAAATGGGAAAGGGTGTAATAATGCACTCTTCGTTTTCCAGTCTGAGTCTAATTTCATAGTCCTTCAGAGCCCCTAGCTGCTCTGCACTGGGAGTAGACCGTTGCGGCGGGATTGGCAGCTGTGGCTGCTGATTCTGCAGATCAACGCCAGTAGGAGGTGATGCTTCTGCTACTAATCCTATCGCTGGTGAAGGAAGAGCAGGACTGCCAGCCTGCTTATCATCATTCCCCTTTGCTGAAGCTCCTTCATGAAGCCGCACAGGTGAAGAGTTAGACAGACTCATTGTATTCGTGTTCTCGATACACCACAAGCCCCGTGGAGTAGCCGCCGTTGCAAGGATATATGGCTGGGGCTTTTTCGCATACCGTTGCCTTACCCCGAAACCGGGAGGGTTGCCGTTCTGGCAGGCACGAAGCAGAAGTTGCTAAACAGCAAAGGAAACAACGTAGCACAAATTAATAAGCTTACTAAAATGTCTTAGTTGGTTAGAGGGGCTCAGAACGTGAAACGCCAATGAAGAGAATGCACAGTTCCTGCTCATCGGGTCCGCCCCTTTGAAGGAGCCAAGCCCTATACCTAAATTCTACAATGTAAATCCTGCACCCTAAACTCTAAGTCATGAACAGCAAAAACATGTCACGTGACGAAATGTTTTTTTCCTTGATAGTGCTCAGTGTATAAGGTGAAAGGCATAGTGCAAACTGCGAATATGTCGGCGCTACAGTGAACTTGAAGCAGGCCCAGACCGTCTGCGGCATTTCGAGACATGCATCTTTATTGCCGCTTGTCTTCCGTTTACGTTAGCCTTTCACCGAGGGTATATGTCTTTGTTTCCATTGCCCTGTCTCTTGACCTGTTTCCCCCTTGGAGCTGTCAATCGCACAAGGATTGAATGCGAGTCCTGTGACTGCCGGATACGCTGAAGTCACAGTTGACGCTCCCGCGCATCATCAAGGAAGCACAGACGGCCGATGCCGCTGACTCGAGCTCTGCGAGCCAGGGGAATCGCTGCTCCGTGCATCCCCGGTAGCAGTTACAGCGGCGGCAACTGCAGCAGCTGCAGCAGCTGCAGCAACACATTTCTGCGCAAATTTAACACCAACGCCCACAATAGTAGCAGTGAACGGAAACAATGTAGTAGTGGTACTACAACTGCTACCAGTGACTCGTGGAGGGGAACGCATAGACACCATCAACACCATCAGCGGTGGCAGAAGCATCAACAACAGATCCGCAACAAAGAACAGCAATTACTGAGTGCAGCAGCTAAGAGGTGGCAGCAATTGTGGCACGCGGGTAACCCCCACGCTCCGCAGCCTTTTGACTCAGTTAACAACGGCAATAACAGCTGCAGCGGCAGAACCAGCAGCACAGAGTGGTGTACAAGCCGCAACAGCGGAAACAGTAGCTGCAAGGATGTAGTTCACGTCGTTCTGCTAAATCTTGGCTCCCCATTGAGGCCGACATACACAGCAGTGTGGAGATACCTAAAGCGTGAGCTACTGCATCCTTGTAGCAAGTGCTATTGTATGCACGTCGATTTGTTGTCGCTACAGCGTCTTTTAGACTTCCTGTATCGACATGTGCCTTACGAAGTCAGCACAAAGACAGATTCGCATGAGATTCCAGGGCATTTGATTTTCCTTTACTATTCTAGCTACAGTGCTGCTGTTGCACTTCCGCCTGTCCCTGCTGATGCGATGCAGAGTTTCTGGGTGACCGGCGCGTTATAGAACTTCCTCGGCTATTTTGGCTACCGTTGCTCCACCTCGTTATTCTTCCCATCCGATCTTGTATGTATTTGCAGCAGTATGGAGGGGAATATCGGCAGCAGCAGCAGCAGCAGGAGCGGCAACGGTAGATACTTTGTGTACGTACTCTGTATGCAGGGCTTTCACAGAGGCGGTACGCCTCCGTCTGGCTTTCTCCTTCTGCTGTTCAGAATCGACTTTCGAGCGCTGCTGCTGCCCTGCAGCAACGGAAACAGCTCTTGCATCAGCAGGGATCGTCTTTGCTGCTGCAGCAGCTTCAGCGCGTATTGGAAGGTGGTTCGGCTCCCCCTTTGCCGGTGTACTTATTTTCTCTTGCTGCTCGGCTGCAGCAGCGCCTAGACCTGTTGCAGAAGCAGCAGCATGAACATAGGCGATTCGTTCCTCGCTTTGAAGTTTCGGCTTGTGTTCGCTACGGGGATCCTGATGTATCTGCTGTCCTGCAAAAGCTGCAAAAGCAGCATCAACAGCTCAAGTTGCTGTTCATACCCCTCTATCCACAGCCTACCGCTTCTTGCACAGCATCAGCTTATGATGCGGTGTTCCATGAGATACGAAAGTGGAGGTTCGTTGCTGCTGTTGCTGCCGCTGGCGGTGTATTTGTTCCTTCTTGTTGAAGTGCAACTGATGGAGCCACAGCAGCATGCTATCTGGCCTTTCAGAACTATTTCGTTCTTTCAACGCTGCAATTAGGAAATTTTTGAGTCAGGTGGCCGCTGCATCGGCGGCTGCGGAAGCAGCAGCTCCTGTAGCGACCTCGTGTCCGCACGTGCTGTGGCTACAACAAAGATGTATTGCTTGGCCGTGCTCCAATCTGTGCTTGCGTATGCAGGGTTATGCCAGATTTGCGGATGGTTTCGGGGTACTGGAACAATGAAGCCTACATTGATTCCGTCGCAGCATCTGTGAAGCAATTCTGGGACCAGCACGGGTGAGTGCTTTCAGTATTTGTGTGGATGAAATAGAGGGACAACACAGGGAAAGCAGGGATCCAATGGAGAATCCAAAGCTTCTCCCTAACGGGAAGCAAACTCTATAGAAATGCTGCAGTTGCTGTGCCATTTACTTTTCATTCACGCAATTGATGCACTGGATCTCCTCATACCGTCTGCCCGGTAAATCACTAGGCTTGTTTGCGGTAGAAGTTAGCGGCATAAAGTAACATAGGTGCAAGGTTTAGCTCTTACGACTAATCCCTTAAAATTTTTGTCTGTACCCAGACGAGGTGACCATTTGCTATTTTCTTACCACGGCATACCGCGCGATGTGAGCTGGGCAGCTGGAGATCCGTACGCGTGCTACTGCTTCCAGACAACTCGCCTCGTGGCAGAGCGCTTGGATTTGAAGGTAGGGCTCCTCACACAGCTGCTATTACAGCGCTGTTGCTGTTTGTGGTCCGTGTGGATCTAAGGAGACGTGCCTGCTGCTGATGCTGTTTCAGCCTGGAGAGTATGAGGTCGCCATGCAATCAAGAACGGGTTGCGCGGAGTGGACGCAGCCCTACTTTATCCCCGTAAGATTTTGGCTTTGGCTTTTTAGCCGCTATCTGTCATATTGCCATTGTAGCTACAGGGGCGCCTTCTGATGTAGCGAATGGCCTGCTGCGGACAGCATTTTCCATTTGTCCTATCATTTTATATTAACGTTGACGGCATTCCTTTTTTTACCCCTGTCTTGCTGGGTCCGTAACTTGTTCCTGGTTGCATGTGGTCCAAATGGTGTATTCATTTGTATTGCAGGCTTTGGAGGCACTTGCCAAAGCCGGCTGTCGACGTCTTGATGTGGTGTGCCCTGGCTTCGCTGCGGACTGTTTGGAGACTCTGGAGGAAGTGCAAACCGAAGCGGCCAACTATTTTGCAGGCTTTACTGTAAGCTCTACTGCTGAAATGCAGTCAATGGTTTCGGACAAATGCATATTGGAGCGTGCAGAATGGAGGTGTACATAGGTGGACACACGCCGACATGAATTTAGAGGCTAAAAGCCAGGCAGATTAGCGCAAAACTCCTGTTCGCCTCACTGCATCTACATCAAACTTATCAGACGTGGACAGTATGAAATTTCAGACATTTTTAGAGTACAGGCGCATTGGTGGCCGCTGCTTATGCAGGATGGACAAGGGGAGCTACGCGTGGTCCCTTGCTTGAATGACACGGATGAGGCGGTGGCTGTTCTAGAGTCTCTTGTGCTTGAAAATACCAAGCAGTGGAGGCCGAAGCCGCGCTGATGATAAGCTTTAGACGCCTTGGTATGCATTGTGGCATGCATCGTGCCCAAAATGGGTCCAAACAACACACGACTGAAGGAACCCGTTCGGATTTCCCAAGACATGCAGACCTGCTGTCCTGAAGTTATGCAGTTTTCCTCGTGCTGCATTTCGAAGAAGGACGATTGACGGCGCATAGTGAAGACCTCGTGCCTTCTTAACTTGTGCGTGAGAAAGTAGGCAGGAGATGAGGGTCTACGATCGATTCTGGAATTGCTCCAGTATTTTGATTACGAATAAGGAAAGCAGCCACTATGAGTACGCCATTCTTTACTCTTTGGAGCTGAGGTGCATATTGAGTCAGAGTTCGAGACGCGTTGAGGAAGTGGCGTTGGAGCATATTTGTGTCGTAAATGCACGCGAGAATTTGTGGTTCACGTTCATAGAGGTCATTTCAGTATCTGTTGTTTTAAGTTTCACACAGGTTTCACACAGGGGCAGCAGTGACTCCCCAAGGTTTCAGTGCCCTCATTCTAATAACAGGGGGCTTTTGTTTATTTTCTGGCCAGTGCATATCACTTCTCTTCCTTTTTGTTCTCTGAAGTATTCCTGTAGCACCAGGTGAAGGCTTTAGGCAAAAGGGTCAAGGCGCACACGCAGATTGCTGCACACCGCAGTTAGGTGAAACCAAGCATAATAGCCCTGACAACGAAATGAGAAACAAAATCATGGTTCCTTCTTCTAGGTTAATGAGAAAGGTGAAGGAAACAGGGCAACTTGAAAACATTTGGAAAGGGCTCCCAGTGACTGGCTAGATTTCCCTTCGCAGTGCTACCAGCAGTATAGATGTACATCGTCTTAGTGTTTCTCCTTCCAGAAAATGTGTTCATCACCTGGCTTTCCGCATATCAGCTATCTTCCCGTTGACGGCATCTGTGGGATTGCTTTAGGACAGAGCACTGGTGCTCGGTTGGCTATTTTTGCTGAGGTAGAGAACGCAACGTGGTTCATGTGATGGGTCATGTAGTTCCCTGTCTTCTTCACAGGGCTTCCATGAGAAGCGAACGGGCGAATGCAACATTCAGGTGCATGGAGTCTCTGTGCCGAGGTGGTGAGAACATTTCCACATTTCGACACAGACGTTGCGACTTTCACAACATAATGCAGTCACTGGACAAACGATGGGTATCTTGAGATGCCTTCTGCAACCTATCATTGCGGAAGTTGGCAGTGTTGAGCGTCCATCGAGCTACTCGCTGCTTCAGACGGCCAGCAGCTGGAGTGCTGTGTAGGTGCCACATACGCTGAGGGCCAGTAGCATTTTTGGACCTAAGTCGGCACATGTTGAAGGAAGGATCCGTGGTTTTTCCCTACAGATCGAACTCTAGAAACACGCTTCACGAGGGAAAGCTGCATGAGCAGAAAGCGCATGCTGGAATATTTAGCTCAATCCGAAGGGTAGAGAGGCGCGGAATGGAGCCCGGCTGCATGAGACCTAGGGCAAAAGATAATGAATGATATTTGAGAAAATAAAAGATTGAGAAATCTATTTGCACAGAGTAGGAGGAAAAGTAAGGTTTCGCGAGGAGCCGCAGAGCAAGGTCACTCCGGGGGTGGGAGTCTGAAACCGAATGCAAGCATCTCACAACTTCAATATATTATACGGAAATTTTTAATTAGACCGCAGAGATGGAAAATCGGGTAAATAGTGCGACCGCAGCCCGTATTTCCATTCGTGGACAAATACCCTGTGCAGCCTCGCCTTGGCCTCGAAGTAGCTGAGGGTTCTTTGGAACTCAAATAGTACCAATCGAAGAACTAACAAACGGTTCTTGCACCCAAAAAAGAATTCATACTGGCTGGTATTTGTTGAAATGAATGCAGTACTGTATGTGTACCAAGGAAGCTTAGAATTCTTCCGCTGCACCATTGCATTTACATAACCTGACAGTAAGAGAGGACACTCCCACGTCCCGGAAGGCTACGCTGTCTGGAAATTTTGCGTCCAGCCTCTTGATTTTTAAGCTTCTGCCCCAGCAGGGAAGAATTAGCCGTCATATCCTCAATGCTACTCGCACGATGCAGTGCTCGCTGCATGTGACTGAAACGTCGGCTGCAAAGCGCGCCGCTGCAGACCCACCAACGTTTCCCCTAGCAGAATAAGTGGGAGGATATTGTTCCGCTCAACTGTCATGCATGGGAAAATCTGACTAATTCGGAGGCCGGAAGCGCTAAACCGCTGACTGTGCATTGGCGCCAGACCAACAGCCAAGCGATTCCCCACAGAGCGTTTGGGCACTAAACCAATTAGCAAGCGGAGCTAAGTTAGGAAGCCTGCTAAATAGACTTCAAGATATAAGTGGAGTCACTTTCGAGTCGAACAGGCAACATGACGCAACTAGACAACGAAGAAATGTATTTTCTTGCACTGGACAAAGTCCGGCGCATTGTGTTCACGCATTCAAACCGTCTTCTCGATTTCATGAAGCCTTTTGACAAGCTGAACCACGGTCTTATTTCTGTATCGCAATTTCACAGAGCAATGAGCGTTGCAGGGATTACGCTATCAGATGCGGAAGCCCAATGCCTAGCTAAGAGGCACGAGCTCTACGAAACGGGAGAAATGAAGTATAGAGAATTTTGCGAAGAAGTCAATCAAGTTTTCAGAGTGTCTGGCCTTGAAGAGAATCCATACATAGTGCCTCCAGAGCCAGGCAAACTAAACCACTCGCCACAAACCTCTACCTAGATTCATTTGCACTCAGAACACAAAGCGTAACTCAAACCTGTAAACCGTTAATCCCTTCAAATAGATCCCAAAGCTTGGTCGTTTGCATTTACATAAGCATAGAGGAACCCAGAACTGTTCTTCAAGGATCAGGTTCTCGTTGCACTTTGTATTCTGCTTTTGATTGTGTAGTCATCTGGAGACCCCTTCATCCTAAAAACACCTCTTTTCTTTTAGTCCATGTAGGTCACGCACAGCCATGCAAATACACTCTTAATCGTCTGCCTTGAAATACAGGCGAGGCATTACTGCCCGTACCCGAAGTGTCTTTGGAGGCGTCGGAGATGGCACTCGCAAAAGCAGCTGTCGAGCAGTTGCGGTTGCTAACTAAGACACGAAAACTCAATTTAAGGGCTTTTTTTGCTCCTTTTGACAAACACAATACTGGGAAGATTACGTTATCCGAATATGAACGGGCCTTTCCAATCGCCTTCAGAGAAAGTGAGCCGGCGAGCACTTTCACACGGCAGAACGCAAACGTCATGGGTGCAAGCATGCAAAAACCTGTTCAATGGGCCTAACAAAGGGCTACAAATCTGGTGCAAATAAATAATAAGCTTGCACAAACAGATGGAGGCACGAACAGCTATGCACTCTCAACGGCGCGTGCGGATAAATGGCAGCCCACTTTTGAGCATTTTTTGCTTTTCCTGCAAGAAGCACGAATGCTGGGTGGCTAAATTGGATCAAACAACTGAACACTCTGGTAAAGAAAGAATAGTTTTGTTAATACAGCTATTATCATTGGTGTGACTGCCATTACTGCTCTTGTAACTGCCACCGTTGTTGCCAGTGCTATATGCCATTACTGCTCTTGTAACTGCCACCGTTGTTGCCAGTGCTATATCCTCCACTTTCCACAATTCTGCATATGTTTTCGCCTTATGACCAAGACAGAGGTAATGATTTCTCCCTTCAGACAAGTTCACTGAGGAAGAAGTGCGTCAACTTGGCCGGCTGGTGTCCACGAACGACGGTTTGGTAGACTGCAACAAACTGCGCTTTCTCATAGAAGGCCCCCCTGCTGCTCCACAGGACTCTTCATTGGTCTTCCATGGTCCCCGACTAACATATGAAAAACCGGCAAGGACAAATAAAAATAATTCGCAGTTGTCTGGCGCACAGCCAGGGACAGCCAGCGCGAGAAGTATCACCAGTGTTCCTGGTGGCGTCCCGCCCAGGACTTGGGCCGGGCAGCAGAAGTTGCCTGTGCAAAAGATCGAGGTAAATGGCCATTCACATCAAACTGACAATAGTAACAGCTCATTTCCAATCGGGGCATTTTTAAGAGGACTCTTGGGGTTTGGGCCTAGGGTCATGGGCTTGGAAACTGTTTCTTCAACGCTGCCTAGGACACACGCTCAAGCTTTTGCTCAAAAGGAAATAAGCTCTGTTTTTGTGTTTTTGTCCCTTTGGTTTCGTGTGCCTTTTAAGCCGCTTAGCATTTTAGGGTACCCGTGGGTGGTGGCAAAATTTGGCGCTGACTGTTTGCGACTTGCTTTTTTTTGTCGGCTTCACAATGCATCACTACTTCGATGCGGCAATGCCTACCTGACTCTCCACTTTTACGTACAGCTGTCTGATGTAATCTGCCGAGCACGAACTAGCCTGACAGAATAAAGTGGACTCATGCATTATTACAATGTGGTGCAGACTGCAGTGGCTGCGGGTCAGCTGCCTCTAAGAGAAAGCTTCAGAGACTTCGACGGCTTAGAAAAAGGTGTTTGTACGAAGGATCAGGCGCATGCTGTGCTCTTGTCCGTTTTGAGGATAAACCTCAGCGAGGTTAGCGGCAGCTGCCCTGAATATAAAAAGCAAAAGATATTTAGGAGATCTGCGGGCGGGATAGAAGTAGAAAGCGCAGCTGGCGCCATCAACAGAAAAAACAGGAAGTATTATTATGGCGCGAAGGCGCCCACCCCCTGCTTATTTGACTGCGTTCCTCACTGACGAATGTCTAACGACAATCAGCCATTACACTGTGCGTAGTGCTATCGCGCTTTGCTGCAGAGTGACTGGGAAGGACTCCTGCAGCAGTTCGTTCGAGCTGACGGAATGTTTGCCTACGATGCACTTTGCTCTCAAATTGAAGCTAGCCTCGGCAATCCGGCAAGGCTTCACCTCACTGCAGTTTGGGACAGTAAACTGAGATTCTTTGAGTCTTTTGACATGAAAATGGTTAAAATGCCCGAGATGCCACATAATTATGAAAAGAGAGTGGTGGTGACGAAAACATGAGAGCATTCACCAATATTTTCTGCATAATTTTATTTGGATTCGTAACGTGAACTTGTAATTCGCTGCATGAACTGAGTTCTCGGGATCGTTAAGCTACTCCAGTGGCTCCAAAACACCTTGTGAGGCTCTCTTCATCTGTTAAGCCAGACACAGCGAATTCATTGAACGTACGTGGACTTAGGAGGCGCAACAATACCCCACTAGGGTGGTGCCAGTACAAACGCCCTCGGAGTTGAGAAGCGCACAAGAGGATAAAACGCCGATGACTCAAGAGGAGCTTGTAAGTTGGCTTTACTGGTTTTATGCTTGGAAGTAGAGAACACAAGATTTATTGCCAACTCCAAACAAGATAATTATTGCCAACTCCTAACAAGAAATCAGCGACTTCATGCAGGCATTTAACTCCACAAATGCACGGAAAAAGGGCATGAGGTGGACATACTCACACACACACACACAGAAACAGCACCGTCATAGAGGCGTATAACTGCACGCGCGCACGAAGCAAAAGCTTTAGCACGAACACACGCCACATACACACCAATTGAATGCACAAGTACAAAATCGTGTACACAAACGAGCAAGCACAAGAAACGAAGAGGCAAAAATTTGCCAGATCTTCTGCTGATCTGCACTCATTTAACTGCCTAATAAGGAGTCATAATCAGTAGAAGACTTTCGTTCTCGTCACTAAACGCATTTTTGCCGTTTTGCCACTGTTCGGCCTCGCTTTTGTTTGATCTCGGCTTGGCACTTCAACAGAGAAACCTGCTGTGCTGCAGGTCCGATTAAGAGAACTGCAAGAACGACTCGCCTTCAAAGTCAAACAAACTAGAAAAGTCTTGCTTCCAACATTTCAAGACTTCGACAAAAGATGCACGTAAGCGAAGCAACAGCAGATGCGCGTCTGCATTAATTAGCATTGCTCCAAGAGATGTTGATGAAATATGGAGTAAATTCAAGCATTAAGGGAGGTAGACCGTAGAAGCTGAGACCCTTTGTCCAGTTCTTATTGCGCTGAAGAAGAAGCTAATGACGTAGCTAAATTTCCCCCCTAATTTTTCGTTGTGCGTGTATGATTATCTTCCCGCTTGCAACATTTGCAGCCAGCACGTCACACGGCGACAGCTCTGGCGCATCCTTGGAATGCTCGACTTGCCCGTCAATGAAGAAGAGTTAAATCTAGTGAGTGTTATAAATTACCAATGGACTTTTTAAATTAAAAAGAGCATACCCTCCATATCAGGAGTACGATGTCCAAAATACTCGCGACACCGCGCTTCCAGAAAGAAATACTTTTGGTCCATTTTCACTGTAGAAGCCCCAGAACAATATATGCACGCGCTCACAGAAACAGCCACCAAAAAGATAGTGGCAGCGAATGGACACCTCTCACCTGAAACCATCAAGTAAACTCTCACTCTAAGGTTCTTCACTACAACTTGCTCATTTGCTTGTTTGATGTCCCCTCAGCTTTGCCTTTGGCTCTGCGACAAAGGCAACCTACAGGAAGTCGCATACAGACCTCTACTGCATGCCATTGACCCTCCTATTAAGGGTTCGTCTCAGCAAGGCAACCTCGAAGAAATATCAGAGTCTGTCTACTACCGCGACGGTAAGTTCCACTACACAGTACTCAACGACCCTATGAAGCATCCTTCAGAATGCGCAGATTAGCTACCCCTCAAGGCAAAGTCAAGTGAAGGGGAAACAGCAGCAACTCTCCCCTGCCTAAGCGCACTCGCTGTTTCATGCGTCGCACGCTTTAAGCTAAAAGAAAAGCTGTTCCTACGTGCACAAAAGCGTGCACTTCTCCACAAGTACACTTTCCAACGGGCCACTAGAGCACTCTGCAAAGCCAAGAGAAACTGGATCTGATTTGAACTGCTCTTCAGGAAAAGTGGTGCCAATGGCGGAGACGCTTAGCAGAATTAAGCAACACTAAGTATGCGAAAAAACTAGAGTCTGTTCCTTGTCCTTCCACTTCAAAGGCTGAACAAGGATTGAGGACACTTCTGCAGATCGCTCCCTCCTGCGGTGCAGCACGCTTTGCTACCTGTCCTTGAGTAATGAGAAAATTTGCAATGTTCTAGTTCAACAAACTCGAACAAAATTTGCCCATGTACACGTTAAAAGACATATTGGTCTAAATAAAAAATAAAAGACTGGCCCCAGAACGAGACGCGTATGCATTATCAAAAGCGCGCGAGCGCTTTGCAGCAAAATGCACCTTTAGACTATCACTGTTCCTCTTTCGTTTCTTTCCACGAAACCAAAGAGCGATCAGTGTGTGATCAGCAGTGTTTGCCTGCTCCTGTCACGTGTGGCCTGGAAACGGTGGCGTTGGAATTCCAGTTCTGATCTGTGAGCAGCCGCCTCACTTCGCCTAGGGTTTGGTTGCTTCTACAAGATAGGCGATCAAGTTCGCTCTTTCTGTTTCTTTCTTAATGCCCGCAAACACCATCTTCGTCCCCGGAATATATGCCTTGGGATTCACCAAGTACTCCCACAAGTGCTTCTCAGACCATACAATACCGCTGTTCTTGTTTGCTTCACTGTACGGGTAGTCGGCGCTGCCGGAAGCGCGGCCTAGAAACCCGTACAAGTTGGGGCCCTGCTTGGCGGCGCCGCCTGCACAAAGGGGAGTAAACGCGCAGATTAAGAAACACAATTAATTCAAGTATGCAGGAGCACAGCAGCGGAGCGACATCGTGTGACAGCGCAAGCCCAAAGCAGCGACTGAGAGGCAAAACTCCGAGAGCCATTCATAAGGAAATCGCGGGCTCAGCAGCCGCGAGAAAACGCGCCTCCTTCCGCTCTCTGCCCTATGAGCCGCAAGGAAAGCGGGCCCTAATTCAATCAGAAGAGAATTAAGTCTGATCTCCATTTAGGGAAAAGAAGCTACTGTGGGGTGATGAGGCACGCTCTCAGGTTTCTGGCCTCTGCGTAATGTACATGAGCAGCTTCTGTGCCTTCTTGGCAGCTGCCCTTCCACATATGAGGCGCGCAAATTGCCCTAAATATGCATTTAAATCCCTCACCTTTGTTAACTGTGTGGCATTGGGCGCACTTGGCCTTGAAAACCTTCGCTCCAGCTTTGGGGTCGCCCGCAGGCACTGTGACATCCGGCTCAGCTCGGGACATTTTCACGTGCAGCTTGAGTACTACAACAATGACCAGATTTCACTTTAATTGAACTCGGGCAACAAGTTCAACTCTTCATTTCCTTCACCTCACTTCGTGGATGTTCCCGCGCGAAGGTACAAGAGGTACATTGACAGACGCCCTGCATGCATGCTATGTATCAGTGTGGCTTTACATACTGCCACTGTGGCTTATTTGCCGTCATTGCCGCAAATTCTAAACAGTAAACCCTGAATATAAGGCCGTAAACTGTCAATAATACCTAGGAAAATTAACTGCAAATGCCTGACGGACAGTAGGGGCTAAGGAGGGACGAAGCAGCGACCCAGGAGGGGCGGCAATCTCCTGAGCGAAACACATTTCTCTACCGCCACAGTAAACACTGAATGGCAGCCCGAGAAGAAAACAGTTACAAAACATGAATTTGTGGCATTTAATGAGTTTCTGTACATAGCAACAAGAACGAATTTGTTCCAAAGTCGTTCAAGCACAGAAAGCGGACTATGAATAGTGAAGGCCTACAGGGAGTGCTGCACTTTCCAATTTTATCCACTGCGTGGAATCTTCACATCCTAAATGAAGCAGCTGATCCCATGCAATATATCCTATTATTGCACTATGTGGGATTTGTTCCATTTTCCTCTGGCGCTTGCAAGTCTCTTCGAAACGCAGACTTGGTGGGCTTTAGGGCCTTGCACAGTAGTACAGCACTTAAATGGCCATGAGACGCTCTATAGAATAAATGAAAAACATTAAAAGTGCAAGTTTGTTGTAGAATATAGAGAAGGGCAGGTCTCTAAGGGTGGCTCGGCTGACTGGGCACGGCAGCCATACCTGGCCGCCATGCCTAGCAGTAGACGCAAAGAGCTCCGTTGCTGCGGAAAGACATTTGGATTATGGTCTTCTCAAAGTGTACTGGCTCTACAAAGCTTAGTACTCACCTTTTATAAATGTGCGCACCGGTTTGTGTGGTGTTGAAGGCTTTTCGGTGGCCAGAAATAAGCATCTGCTTAGACTTGCAGCAGGGAACTGGCATACTGCAGGTCAGGATTGTTATGCGTTCGTCCAAAGTGAAGCATACTTCACATTAGTGGGCATTACTTCATGCTGATACACAGTTGGGGACCTCGTTGGTGAATGCATACCAGAGGGTTCACGGGAGCACCCGAAGAACCCACATCAGATGAACCCAAACAACGGACACTCATATGCAGCTCTGTGAGCCACCCTATAGAAAAACTGAAGGCCCTATAGAAAAAATGAAGGTAAACAACAAGGAACAACAACGGCTGCGTACGGGAAGAGACCAGTCAGCTGTAAAACCAGACTTGGGGGTATGTGGCATATAGCAGGTAGCCAGATGAGCACTAATGGGCAATTGACCGCCAGGAGAAAATTTTGCGTGGAGTGTTAGACGGAACTGTTAATAGTTTTCTGCGTTTCTTTCGGTCAAAGAGGAGTAACTTAAGACCCGCAACGAGCCGTTGTTGACTGCCTGAGCTAACCCCAGTTGCGAACTGCGGTAAATGGGAGCTTTCCCACGGTCCTCTAAATGTGAAAAACACAGAAAGCACTTCAGTACGCGGCCCGTTTCCAACCCCTGCGGCTTAGAAGGCCACTCTCCGGTTCGACTCTTGAGCTACTCATCTTTGTGGAGGAAATCGTGAGAAATTTTAGTACAGTCGGCCTTCATGGGCAGACAGGAAACAAACTGCACAGTCACCTTGGGAGTGAAACAATTCAAGCTTAGGCACAATTCTGCAATTGATGCAGCCACGTAGCAGTGAGTTTAGCGAAAAGCTATAGTTGAACACTATTAGACGCCGTGAGCCTGCCTTTGCTTAAAGAACATTGTTCACACTCAGAACTTTTTATCGTTGCTTTGTCGCTCTGACTTCAAAGTCTGGTGCAGTGGCTAGAATTTGTCGAATTAAACCCATAGTTACTGCTATTTTCAACAGTAGGTGGTTTTGAACAAAAGGAAAACTTGAAGAAGTGGCAAACTTTCGGCGAGATTGCCAGGCAGCCACTGAGAGAAATAGACTTCTTTTTTGAAATGAGGGGGCAAATACGTACGTAGCTCTTCACTGTAAATACAGTAGATGCGAAAAACAAAGTCTGGGTTGCACGTTCCTGGCTCGCTTGCATTCACACGTTCAAAACAGCGTAGGACTGTTAGTTCGTACGCTTTGGGCTGTCGTCGATTGCTGAGGGGAGATCGAACCTTCGATCCGTATCTTTTTCACAAAAAAAGTGGAGGCAGATCCATTGAATCACAGCCATTAAACGCTGAGATATCTTTTGAATTTAGATTTGTAGCGGGTTATTCATTTACCGGAACCCCAAGTTCATAGAGTTTGCCATTGGCTGACCCGGCTGAGCAATTCAACGAACCATTCAAATTGCCATCCAAAGACTCAAAACGAAGTAATTGTACTGCATGGCTACACAATTAGGCTCATGTCACCAAACCCACTGGACCCTTCAGCTTTGCGGGTTGTAAAGCCCATGGCTAGAGGCTTCAAGCAGCTTTGCAAGAAGCTTTGCGCATCAAAGTACTCAGCGTAATAAAGCACTTAGTCGAAACTGAAGATAATTTGTCAAGAAATGACTGTAGTTTAGGGGTACGCAAACACTTTTCCGGCAGATCACAGCAGAAGAGTTGAAAGCCACTTCAGAGCAGTGCAGCAAGACCATTCAGCAGCTTCGCAGCTTCCTGAAGATTTGTTTCACAATATTATTTTCAATTAAGGACTGTTTGCAGCTCTTGCATCCCACCAAACAAGGAAATGCATTTTGCGAGGGAAGCTGAAGACTTGTCCTTGCCTTCTTGGGCCGCCTTAACACTTAGGGAATAGTCCGAAGGGGATGTTGAGGACTCAGGCAAGGAAAAGTCTAGTTTTAAATGGAAAGACAAGAAAAGGATTGTTTCCACGAGAACAAGAAGAAAACCCGAGGGTGGCGGTAGACAGAAACGCCAGAAAATTGAGCTTTTTGCACCATTAATATACTTATTGAACAGCTTTTTACTTAGGCAGTTGACTCCCCTCTGCAGCACTTTTTGAATTTCGCTGCTGCAGCAGCTCTAGCGCCACTCGCCAGAACCCCATGAAGAGTTCTTCAGCGATTAATGGGTTTTGTCTTTGATAATTGCAGAGCAGGAGCCCCCATAGACATAAATGCCAATCCAAGTTTCGTCTGGAGCAGCAACTGTGTACTGTGGATGCGCTCAAGAAAACTGCAAGGGTTTCAGCTGCCAGATCGACCGATCTCAGCCATCAAAACGGACTCCCAAGCCTCTCGCTTCATGGGAATTGCAAATAAAAAGCCAGAAAGGTATTATGTGGCTTAAGCT